TTATGGTGATCAGTCCATAATGAAAGACCTCTTCATTTTTATCAGATTTATCAGAATCTGACTCAGGTTCTTCATTGCTTTGCAAATTCTTCTTCATTATATCCTTAATTTTCGAAACAGCATTCGAACAAGCTATTGCATCATTGAAATGTATTCTTTTGAACCGTGGATCTAGAATACTTGCGATAGCAAGAGCACTCACATGTTCTATAGAACCCATTCTTTTATTTATTTCATTAATAGCAAGTTTTTGCACCTCCTTCGCTACGGGATCTTCTATAACAGCTGAAGTTATTTTAGAGAGCATGCAACGAACTAAGGGAATAATTTTACTACTTGTGCAGTATTTATCACCCGAAATTTCTTTTGTAGCCGCTTCCAAGGGTCGCAACACCACGATGACAGACGATACAGTAGATATATCCGATGCACTGAGCATTGCAGGTGCTCTGGGGTGGCGGAAGAGAATATCATTTATGACACTGCGGAGTTCTAGAAATCTTTGTAACATATAGTATGTACTGTTCCAACGAGTATCCACGCTTTGTATTAATTTTACCCCAGCAGGAGACTCCATAGCCGCAGCAGTGGCTTTACGTAACTCGTCACTAGCTACGCAACTCTGTTTAAACCAAGTCACTATTGTTTTTACTTTAGAAACAATGTTTCTCCACTCAGTACACATCATTGTGCCTTCAGCTACCAAATTCAAAGTATGGGCAAAACATGGGATATGTTTCCTTCTACCGAACGCTAATTCGATCGCCTTTACTATATTGGCTGCGTTGTCAGTAACAACAGCCGTTACATTCTCTTGGTCTATTTTCCAGTCTTGGCATACCTTTAAGAGAATTTCAGAAAGATAATCTGATGTATGTCTTTCATCCAATTCGTACACGCCTAAAGTGATTGAGTATAGTTCAATGTCTATTCCGAAATGCGCTGTGATGCCCAAAAAACTTTTCATATTTAAGGTATCCGACCAAATATCCGTTGTTAGGGTTATATCTTCTATAGAGGATAGCATTTTTTTAATTGTCTCTGAAATTACTTCATATTTATCGTCCAGCCAGCGTCTTAGAGTTGTTCTACTCGGGAGTTTATATTGAGGAGCAACTGTTTTCATTAGAGTTCTGAAGCCTTCGTTTTCAACAATTGAGAAAGGCTGATGGTCTTTGCAAATCATGAATAATAAACAGTTGTTCAGTTTCCTTGTCTTCTGTCCAGATTCTGAGTAAGAAGAAATATCTTTAAAGGCGGCCTGTATTGTTTTTTGGCGTTTTAAAGGGGTAACGTTTTCTTCTAAGTCTAAATCAATAGTTTCATTTACGGTTTTCGGTAACGGCTCACAGGATCTTTTATTGCCACTGCCACTTGTACTAGGAATCGGTTCAGATTGAAGTAAACCATCATCAATGTTATCGTTAGGCGTTACCTTGGTATTTAGAGGATTCGATATTTCTTCTGCATTTAATGTATTTTGTTTTGGCTGAATTTCAAGATAAGCAGCCTTATGAACATTACGAACGTGCCCAATTAAGTTCGTAGTATTTCCAGCAGACTTAATTTCCTTTTGACATAGTTTGCATTTCGTTTTCTTATCATCAATTTTGTTAAAGAACTGCCAAACTGAACTTTTTTTCTTAGGTCCCATTATAACTGAAAGTTAAAAAAATAATACTTTATAGCACGGTTTACGGGGTATTTATAATAATACCTATTAACTGCCTAGTAAAATACAAATATGTTTATGCCGCATCATAATCGATAATATAGTATCGATAACTTGGAATCACTACGGTAGGTAGTATTTCAGGGTAAAAATATAACCTTCCAATCAAATCGTATTACATTGCGAAATTAATGCAAACTTCGTAACGTAATCTTCTCTTTTATATGTTAATTAGTTATATGCACGCGCAGTAAAACGTAAAATATTTTCAACATAAGTAATTACTTTCTACTTTTTGACAACAAAACAATGTGATATTACCAGTAAAATTTCGAACCCATTATCACTAAATACATTATTCTGTTTATTAATACACATACCTGTTGATAAATCAAAGTTTCTTTTTAGTTTCAAACAAAGCAAACACTTGTATCGTATTAAAACACAACACACGTTTCCACAGCAGAGACTCGGTCGGCCATATTGTTGTTTTGTTTTGTTGGTTTAATTTAAATACTTTTAATTTTGCTATACCGGCTCCGCGGCAATGGAAACATAGCCAATTCAGCCTATAATAACTGATAGGCGCGTTTGTTATATTGGCAGCACTGATTATAACGTTTCGTTTCACTCATAGTATACTCATTCCTAATTTGCTTGGTCGATGTATCGAATGAAAAACATCGATATATATTCGATGTTGAAGTATTAACAATACATCGGTTTATACGATGCATCGTTACTATACATCGAGTGTTTTAAATAAATCGATGTATATCGTCCACAAATAATATGAATTAGAAAACCTTGTCAACATGAAATATAGAGGTCATGAAATATCAATCTCTTCGAAAATTACTTTTAAAATGGAATGGAATACAACTTTCGGGATTTAACTACGATGCTGCAGATAGACACATAAATCTACACGTCTTATTAAACTTATGTAAGTCGAATATCAGTATCGGGGTAGGTATTTAGGGTCAACAATGAAATTAAAATATTCGTTAAATTAACTATACATATTTATTCTTAATGCATAAGATAGTAGTATTGTTCACCTTGTCGTGGTGGGGCTCAGTAGTGCCCGGCAATCCAACCGGGCGCGAAGCTAAGAAACGCACAGGGAGGTTGCCCACTTCGGTGAGCGGTGGGAGGTGGCCCTCTTCGGGGGCGGTGTACCATGCGGGTTGCTCCTGGTACTTCTCTGATAGCAGAGTGGACTGTGGAGCAACCCCATGGTTGTGGTGGTCTGCTTCGGCAGACCTGCCGTCGGGGCGTCGTAGTTGAATGCGTAAGCGATCCTGCGACGCCCCATTAAGACGGGGGAAGGTTTTGTTGGGTTTTAGTGGGTAGTACTGGCTGTATTACGCCGGTGAGTCCCACACGTCGTGCGTAAATGCATTTCCCAACGTTAAAAAAAAAAAAGTAGTATTAAAGTCCAGGAGTCCGTAATTTCCCAATACAATAGACTTAGATTTTTTATCATCCAGACTTGTCAAAATTTGTTGCCTATATCAAAGCCCCTGAAAAAAGCCCACAGAGACAAGGAGTGGGCTTTTAAAAAGTCCTTAGCTGACACACAAGAAATAGTACAAGAAAAGAGAAAAAGAAGAAATATTTACAAAAAGAAATGAGATCCCATCAAAAACATTCTGTAAAAATATTGCAAGTCTCGCAACGCATTTCTTCTACCTCAAAAAGCTATGAGATGTAATGTAAAACCAAGTCGGTTAATTTATTCATTACCTATCTATGAAAGCATCTATCCGACAACTTTGTCATAAATCGTTACCGAATTAGTTAAGTTACAACATTTTATAGTGACCGTATTAATATTAGATATATTTATTTCTTTAATTAATAGAATGACTTGGCCATCGCACATGATAATAGAATCTACAAATAACAAAATTTACCTAAAATTAGCGTTCTGAGTGCATTATTAATGTATAGATGCATAAATTTGACCCGCTAGTGCTATGTTCAGTTCATCTCAGCCCAAACACACACACAGCTGGACATAGGCCTCTCCCAAAAAGTTCCACGACAACCAGTCTTGTGCCATCCGCATCTAGTGGGCTCCAGCGACTTTGACCAAGTAGTCCGTCCACCTTGGTCATGATATGTTTAATTAGGGCTATTTAAAGTTGTAGACTCTTATGTGATAATGTTTCCGTGCGATGGCCAAGTCATTCTATTAATTAAAGAAATAAATATATCTAATATTAATACGGTCACTATAAAATGTTGTAACTTAACTAATTCGGTAACGATTTATGACAAAGTTGTCGGATAGATGCTTTCATAGATAGGTAATGAATAAATTAACCGACTTGGTTTTACATTACATCTCATAGCTTTTTGAGGTAGAAGAAATGCGTTGCGAGACTTGCAATATTTTTACAGAATGTTTTTGATGGGATTAGTTATAAGTCAGCACTCTGTTAAACTAATATTGCCGCGTCGAATGGATGCCACGACGTATACAAATAGGTTATTGTTTTACGACTGCTGGTCCAACATGTAAACGTTGAATAATGCCAGATTTCTATAAGGTAATCAAATCTAAATATAGGTAGTTTTAGTAGACTAAATGTAGGTAGGTAAGTCCTTAAATGGACTGAGTTGAATTGCTTGTAACAAAAAGTTTTAAAAATAAGTCTTTTCCGTCGTTGAGCACTTAACTTCAACTCCATATTATATGATTATTATGTTTATGTCGGGGATTATTGAAATTTTCTATTTGTAATTTTCATTTGTAACACTTTGGTACTTTTGAATAATAAATAATAATGATAGATTGACCTGTTGGAACAACCTTATTGGGAGCTACGATACATCATCAAACTTATAGCATTCCACATTACATCCTAACACCACCGCCATAAACGGTGAAGTAATTGGATATAGTAATTATTCTGTTATAATTATTTGACGATAGTTGCAATATTCTGTTAGAAAAGTTAACGATAGTTAATAAACTACGTTTTATTTTTATTATTTTATGGGTGCTTTGTGGAAATATTAAATGACTTTCTTAATAACGTAAACCTTTAAACACTGAAAAGCGTTAACTTCTATAAATACCTAAATGAAAAAACCATATATGATGTTTGTCAAACTAGGCTTCTCTCAAATTGACCTCTGATTCACTTTTAAATTATCTCTATTAACAGACAATAGCAATATCAGTTTGTATATGAGTGTTATTTAACCACGGAAGCTCTATTAGTATAATGAGCGAAGTGAGCATGATCTCATTCAATTGGCATTATAGAAACAGAGGTCACCTGTATAATTAAAGTAAATTATGCATTTGTTTCAGGTCTCATGCTATCGGTTCCTTTTTTATTGGCGACTTTCCTAGTGTATGCATTTATTCCTGAACTGAGGAATCTTCATGGCATGTGTCTGATGGCGTATTGTGCGGGTCTGATCGTTGCGTATCCCTTCCTCGCCTACCTAAAATTTCATACTGGCAAAGTTGGCATTGCAATGACGGGGTGCTACGTAGTTGGTAAGTATGCAATTTTCAGGTATTATTCACCTATTCATTACTTTTTATATTTTATATATTCTTTTATTTATCAATAGTATAGATTGATATTTGTAAATATTGGCATAACATAATATGGAAAGATACTAGTACGTACACAAACAACTTTTTGCAACGGGAGCTACTAACCTGACTGTCTTTCGGAAACGAATGTCTATGCATTATCATTAATAAATGGATATTCGTTTCCGAAATCAGTCAGGTTAGTAAATCCCGACATATTGACGACACCTTTGGCTCAGTTTTTAGTGACCCTACATGGTGTGCCAACGGTCGCGGGTTCGTGTCCCGCTGGAGGCATTAATTTTTGTGATGAACACGAATGTTTGTACTCCAGTCATGGGTATTTGTATTTATAATATGAATATATTTAAAGTTATATATATGTAGTGTATCAACTATCTGGTGTTCATAACACAAGCCTCGTAGCTTAACATGTGGGTACAGTGTGATAAACATATTTAAAAAAACAAATAAAAATAAACATGCAAAACAAAAACTTATTTTAATTAAAAAAATTAATACCCAAATTATAACATAATTATAAACCATAGAAATTAAATATGGCGTGTTTGAAAACCTTGACAAAAGGCTTCATAAAAATCCAGTAGCCAATGCACGCCATAGGGACTTAATTATAAACATGACGAAATGGATTTTACCAGCAGTTACATTAATTTTACGTTTTATTATGTTAATGTGTCATAAGAAATAGCTGTTTTTACAAAAAATGAATCATTCTGATACCTAGTACTAGGGATGGGCCGAAATTCGTTTTACATTCGGTTTAACCGAATTTCGGAAGCTTAAGTCGAACTTCGGCATTCGGCCGAAATTCGGTTTGAATGTCGAACATTCGGCGTTGGAGAAAAAATACCTACTTGCACGATTTTGACTGAAATAAATAGAAAGCATGTCTGTCATAGCAGTAAAATTAAGTGTTTTATATACTCAAATTGGGTGTGATTTTTAGCCTCCCAAGACCATAAAATATAAATTTCTCAGAAACGGCTAAATATTTCAATTTTGAAAAATATTATAAGTATTTCGAATATTACATTCCCCTAGTTTCATGAAAATCAAAAAATTATTGCAGAAATTAATAATGAAAAAATTGAAAAACGGTTTTTTTGCAAATATCTCGAAAACTTTGAGTTTATTGTAAAAAGTGTCACATGTAATAGTTGTAGGTTTTTACTAGTCCTACAACTTTTGAAGAGAAATTTTTTTGATAGGACGTCACAGTAAGCTGGAAATTGAAAAAACTACTTTTCAACGCCTTTCATCCCCAATTTCTCGGGGGTAGCTGGACATCGGGAGCATTTTACGGATTTTGATCCTTATTTATATACCTGCTAACCATTTAAAGACGTTGAAGTTCAGGTTTTATTTTATTAAAAATAGCGACTCACCCTCGCTTCGCTCGGGTTCGCCTCTAGAAAAATACTAATAGAGATCTATTAGTTCCCACGGGAACCGTTCATTTTTCCGGGATGAAAAGTAACCTGTTATTTGACCGGCAATATAAGGTATCAGAATGTTAAATTTTACTAAATTAGGTGCATAAGTTGTTGTGTACTAAGCTGTATAACATACTATAGTTTTTTAACTATCCCACGGGAATTCTTTCATTTTCTGGGATGAAAAGTATCTCAGATATGGACCGGGGATATAAGGTACCCCATGCAAAATTTCATTTAAATCGGTCCAACAGTTTCGGAGATTAGGTCGTACAAACATACAAACAGACAAACTGACAAACAGACATACAGGCAAGCAGACAAACAGACAATTTTTTTAATAAATATTGTTTTGGGGTCTATATTGTATACATAATATGTTACAAACAAACAAAAACAGATCTATTCCACGGAAACCAATCATTTTTCGGGATGAAAAGTAACCTGTTGTTTGACCGGCAACATAAGGTATCAGCATGCCAAATTTTGCTAAATTAGGTGCATAATTTGTTGTGTACTAAGCTGTATAAGTTACTGTAGTTCTTTAACTATCCCCACGGGAACTTTTTAATTTTCCGGAATGAAAAGTATCTTACATGTTGACCGAGGATATAAGGTACGACAATACAAAATTTCATTTAAATTTATCTAATAGTTTAGGAGATTAGCCCGTACAAACAGACAAACAGACAGCGAAACAAAAAAATTGAAACAAATCTGGATTTGTTCTATTTTTCTTCTTACGGGATGTAAGAAGATAACTGACTCGGTTTTTAGCATTTTTTTTCTACGTACAGACATTCGTCCTCTACAGTTTTATTATATTTATAGATAGAATAAATAACATATAATAAAACAGGAATATATAATAATGAAAATAGTTATAGCGAGTGTACCTTAGGAGATAGACATATACTAGTGAGAACTTTTCTATCATTTTAAATAAAATTATCTTTTCGGATTATTTCGCGGATTTATTTTGATTTTTGATTCCCGACGTTTCGAATGCTTTACAGCAATCATTTCTATCGACCTTTATAAGGCTTACAATTTTCTTGTACAATGTTTTGATATATCTCTTAAGGTTGAGCCAGCGTTAGCCATATAAATTTCAAAGGACAATTCGATAGAAGCAGTTGTTGTGTTTTCCCGTGGGAATTAATAATTTGCCTGTCGTAAAAGGTATCCTAAATGTTGACCCGAGTACTAAGTCATCACTATACAAAATTTAGTTAAAATCGGTTCAGTACTTTTTGCGTAAAACGCGCACATCGATTTGACTAATTTAGTTTTATTATTATAGGTATAGATAAGAATAGATATTGCTTAGGAGATATACATATACTATTCAGAACTTTCCTGCAGGACTTTTCAAGACCTACAAATTTTTAGTATATTGTTTTTATGTATGTCTTAAGGTTTAGCCAGCGGAAGGTTTCTAGGGAGGACTCGATAAATCCAGTTATTGTATGTATCTTCCCGTGAGAAAGATTCCCGATTCATTACTTTTCGCGTGAAACGCGCATATATAAAAACAGACAAACAGACATACAGGCAAACTGACAAACAGACATTTTTTTTAATAACTATTGTTTTGGGGTCTATGTTGTGAACATAATACGTTACAAATAAACGAAAACATCTATCCCACGGGAACCATACATTTTTCCGGGATAAAAAGTAACCTATTTGTTATTCTGATGTATGACCTATATAATTGTAAAGTTTTATCAAAATCCAATCAGTAGTTTTTGTGTACTAAGCTGTATAAGTTACTATAGTTTTTTGACTGTCCCACAGGAACCCTTTAATTTTCCGGGATGAAAAGTAGCCGATTTGTTATTCTCATGTATGAAATACATTATTGTAAAAGTTTTATTAAAATCCAATCAGTAGTTTTTGTGTACTAAGCTGTATAAATTATTATGGTTTTTAACTATCCCACGGGAACTATTATATACGGGATAAAAAGTATCTAAGATGTTGCCCAGGGATATAAGGTACCACATGCAAAATTTCATTTAAATCGGTCCAATAGATTCGGAGATTAGCCCGTACAAACAAACAAACTGTCAAACAGACAGAGAAACAAAAAATTTGAAAAAAATCTGGATTTGTTCTATTTGTCTTCTTACATACCCCTGACTCGATTTTTAGCATTTTTTTGCTATGTACAGACATTCGACCTCTACTGTTTTATTATAGTATAATAGATGAACGTATTCCGATCGGTCTACATGGTCATTTATTTTAGATAGGAACATGTAAACCTTTACAAGTATGTAACAGTCTCAAAGATCTTTGCCTAATTAAATAGACAAAATGGAATAAACTTAGTATTTATCTAACAAAAATCTTAATTATTACTAGTACAATTCGTAAATTGAATTAAAACAATCACGTTTTTGGTTTACTAACTAAGCACTCAGAAACATTAAGTACATATTTTTAATTATTAAAGGGTCATGACGTGTCTCTCGAGAAAGCGCGTTGACATTGAACCGCACCACACACCGAATGTTCGGCCGAAGTTCGTATTCGGTTCAAGCCGCATTTGGCCCATCACTACCTAGTACCTATGAAGACGACTATACACAATAAAAATATTAATTATCATGAAATGAAAAATTCTTCATTCTTAACTTGCACTAAGAGTAGGTGCGTTTCTATGTACTTATGTAGTATGTATCTACTATCTATTACTTACTAGCATTTCCAGTGACTTCTCCCGCGTCCAAACAATTAGATTTGGTCTCTGTATCGTATGTGATAACTATCTATTACAAGAAAATTTTCAAAAAAGATCAATATAGAAGCGGCTTGCTTACAATTTTTGTTAAAAATACAAATCGTTTTTCATTCATATTTTCTATACTAATACAGTAAAAACTGCAATCTGTTATTTTGTAATAGATTAAACTGACGCCATTCTGAAGATTCTTTTGAAAAGAGACATACATTAATTAATAATAATTGATTAATTTTGAAATAAAAAAGTATAGTTACTTAAAAATCATTTTAAAATTAATATTCCACCAAAGGGTTGAAAATTTTCCTTCTTTATATGGGACAAGTGACCCTTGAGAACCTATTAATATACAAAACATACCCGAATTATTTATAGGTATAAATAAGTTCTTTATCCTTTTAAAGGTCTATAAGAAATTATAAAATATTTGTTTCTATTAAAATAAATATATTACCACACAGAACATAATTAAAGGAAGGATCACTTAATTAAAAAAATAGGCTGAAAACTGATAAAAATAATAGAATTTTGTTTTTTACGAACATATCGTTTTAAAGTAACATTACCATAAACTTACCACCATAAGTTTTAAATATTACGGAGTAAAAATTCAGCAAAGAATGATTACCAAACCTAATACCAAAATTAAGTAAGCAATGTACCGATTTCCGGAAACCACTCCTTCACTAAATGATATTAAAACCCTCAGAATCTCATTACCCATTATTATTCTAATTTTATTATAGCTCATGTAAAGGTGTGCCGATAAACATGTGCCATGCAATGACAAACCTTGTTGAATTTTATTTAATTTTTTGTGAAAAATACGCCCAGCTTTACTAAAAATAGATTTTTTTTTATTTTGTAATGATAGTATTTCTCACTTATTTATTAAAATAATTACATTTAAATTCACCATGTTCAAACATTTATCATTTTTTAAAATAAAGTAAGTATTCCATTCTGCAATATGTTGTTTGCTTGCTTAGAAATGGTCGTTTGATGTTAAAAGAAAGAGCTTTAATGACCTATGCTAATACTAGCTATTTATTCTATCTAGATTTTAATATCTATTATTATGGTTCCTGAACTTATTAGAAGAGTCGGTACAAAATTAAAGATTTTATTATAATCATTTTAAGTTCTAGTTTGGCCTTGGCTAGGTCGTGAATTTATCAACGTCCCATTGTAGCTATTTTTATTGGTACACCACAGGTAAAGAGTAGGTACTTTTCTCTATAGTTACATGCCTGACAGGTATAGTAAGCCAACAGGGGTATCAATTAATAATAATAATAATAAACTCTTTATTGTACACCAAGAATAAAAGAAAATAAATAAACACAGAATAGAAATGTACAAGAGGCGGCCTTATCGCTAAAACAGCGATCTCTTCCAGGCAACTTTTAGGCGTAGGAGATAGCAAACTGCAAGAGGGAAGGGGATACACATACTACCATCAGGGTTCAGGAAGAAATACAGGGAAAGGAAGAAATAGAAGGAGTCGTTATCCTCCGCTTCGCGGTTCGGGTAACGATTCGTTAAACACTCCGATTATTAACAAACCATGTTAATAATTATTAATTTTCTTTTAATGCTGTAGTGCAATAGACAAGAATAGTTATAATTATATTAAATAGAATGACATGTTCGCAATAAACGTTGTGCTGGAATAATGGGTAATAAAATATAACGTCGACTTAGTCATAACTACTTAGGAGTTACCATCTACAGCAAATGTTTATTAACGCTATTACCGACTATTTTTGTACGGACTATTATTAGGTATAAGATTAATAATATTGAGAAAAAAAATACAGCTGTGTTTATAGCCTCGGTGGTGTAGTGGCTAGCATATATGGTTGCACACTCGGAGGTCCTGGGTTCGAGTCCCGCGTCTGGCCAAGTTTAGTTATTGAGTCTTTCTGTATAGTAAGTCTCAGTAACAGCCCGGAGTTGGGAAGTTGGCGGTTTTTCACCCCCGTGCCTCGGAGAGCACGTAAAGCCGTCGGTCCTGCGCCTTAACTCTCACTGGTCGTGTCGAGAACAGGAATTACTCTGGGCCGAGTATTTTTGGGTCCTTTTTATTATTATGTCTATAAAGAATAATCTTAATTACATTAATAATATGAATAATAATAATAATAGCGTTAATAAATAATAGTAATTGATGTAAATAGAGCATGCATAATATGCATGCATAGCTTGACATTAGCATACATATGTATGTTGTATATTTACGTATGAGGTATTCCTGGCGCCACGTCATACTGAAAGGAAATATATTAATAATGACTTTTAAATAAAAACTGAAACCAACTTCGGTATTTCATTAAAATCAATTACCTACTAGTTTGTATTTATGTGTGAAGAATCATTCGTGTCAGTTAAAATATATCCCCCCATATTGAAAATCTCCTTAATTTTTGAAATCGTTTAAATAAATAAAATTAACCTGCTTTCATCCACTAAAAATTACTGACGCTGACTTTACAATGGATTTTTTGTGGACCAATGGAAACAAAAAATGATGATGTTGTCCTAGCCGATTCCGGCTACGGTGGCCAATCTCATTGAGACTAGCCAACTGCGCAGGAGATATTATAGTGCACAAGTGTACGCGCAGACACAAGTGCACTCTCTATTCCTGTCACTCTCACACTCCGGTGGGACGACTGCTCGACACGACCAGTGAGAGTTAAGGCGTAGGACCGACGGCTTTACGTGCTCTCCGAGGCACGGGGGTGAAACACCGCCAAATTCCCAACTCCGGGCTGTTACTGAGGCTTACTATACAGAAAAACTCAATAACTAAACTTGGCCCGACCCGGGACTCGAACCCAGGACCTCCGGGTGTACAACCGTACATGCTAGCCACTACACCACGGAGGCAGTTACTAGGTATAATATCTCCTGCACATCTAGTCTTAGTGAGATTGGCCGCCGTGGCCGAAATCGGTCAGAGGGGACATTATTATTTATAAACTGCGTATATAAAATTTTCAAATTTATTGCAAAATTTCGACGTAGACTACGTCCTGTTTCATTATCAATAACATATTTGCTTATATTTTCACAAGAAAAATAAGACATAAAATTATTATAAGGTTAATAGAAACAGTTGTTTTAATAAATATCAAAAAGGGGTCACAGAGATTAAAAAGCATGATGACTGACAGCCGTCTACGAATAATATTGACACTTTGAACATTTGATCAAGTTTTAATTAAATTTTCTTTTCATCTGCTATGAACTATGGATAATCGTGCCAAAAATTATAGACAGACGGTATATATTGTAGACAGTAACTTCTGATTACCAATTTAAATCCCCTCATCTCCTTCTGTTTATTTATGTTCTCTGTGACTAACTTTGAAGCTTATACGAAAATGAAAAATACTGCATACCTACATACGTAGTAAATTTGTTACAAAAACACTAATTAATTTTCCACGAGAAATGAAAATAATAATCCAATAAGAGAGATTTAATTTTAATCTCTTTTATTATTTGGGAATTTGTGAGTCATTAACACTTTATTAGAAAACGTTAAACATTAAGAAAAAGAAAAACGCCCTAATCTACGAGTAACAGGTTGCTTTTATAATTAATGTAGAGATTTGGCTTACCCTCGCTCGCGAGCTCTTCTAGAAGAGAGGTTTTTCTTACTTTATTTACAAATATCATCCATCATACCTGTAGATTATTATTGCATTTATAAATGAATCTATAGCACCCTTATCCTATAACCTCCCAATTGGTAAAACTCTCTCTCTGTTGGTGGAAACTGTGTGAAAATCCGTACAGTAGCGTTTGAGATTCGCCAAACAAACACAAACTCAACTTTAGTTTAAAATATGTAGTAGTAACATTCGTTGTTATTTTAATCAACATCGGGACAACAAATGACATAATTTTTTACTTAGAAAAGGTTTTTAAGTCGGGGAGTGAGTGATATAGGCTGCTTTTATCCGGGAACATCAAGTCTAGCCCAGGAATATTTGTCTAATTTTAAAGATAATAAATAATTTATTGCGAAAGGGCACTTATTGACCTACCAAGTAAAAAAGCCTGAGTGAATCTACAGTTTACTACAGCGTGTTTTTGTTTCTAATACATTCCCTATCGATATTAAAATAATTAAAGAATACTTTCATATTTGTAAACTTTTTTTTTGTTTTAGCATTCATCATATACTACGCATTCCAGACAAGCTTCTTCTGGCTCAATATAATGTGCTTCGATATCTGGAGGACTTTCAGGTAAATAAGTTATGATTATCATAAAAAAAGCTTATTTCAGAGAGTATTGTATGTGTATTAGCGCACATCTCAAACTGTTTGTAGGTACTGTACAGCGGAGTAATCTATTCTTCAACAGAGAGGAGACCCACGTTCATATTCGAAAATTGTACATATTTTACGTATGCAAATATTTATATTATCGGCAGCAAAAATATTTTTCTACATAATAGCATTTCTTAGACATTTTGAATAATAATTGTTATAAGTGTAAATGTTACACTAAAAATCTAACGCTAAAAGCTATTTCAATATCTTAAATCTACATACATTATACATACATATTATCATACAGTCTGCCATTGTATTGCAATTCACAGGAGACACTAACTAACCTTTCGAATTTTAGACAGTATTTAGAGTAATCTTCGAACGAAATGACATGATTAAATTCCAAAAAAAGAGAGTATTTATTATAGAGGAGTGTTTATTTACCCTTTTCAGTTAAATAATTGCAAATACTTGTTTTTCATATTGTCTACATACATGTAGGTATGTATATGAGCTTATTTCAGCTGCCGATAAAGTAATTTACATGCGTACAACACCTTTTTACCCTTGATTTGATAGATTGACATACACAATATGTCGCAAGCAATAACATTATCGTCTATTTCTTCTACAAGCTATTATGTAACTAACAATGTTTCTAAGCTGGAATATTTGTATGGGTCAAATCTTGCAAGCTGAATTTACATCGCTTCTTATACTTAGTTAAAATTTTACATGTTGGTTCAGTTCCGATAACAATATTTTTTACAAACATCGTCTTCTGTTTGCAAGCACTCTGGCGTGAGTAAAATGCCGATGGCAATTATTGTAAAACATTGGATTGTAAAATACAGCTCTGTGACTAATAAGGATTTCTGACTTCAAGAAAAAAATACCTAACAAGAATAATGATGGATTACAAAATATGCCTGCAGCATAACAGCATACCTCGATACCCGATAGTTTTCATGTTACATAAGTCTTGTCGCTGTTAGACGTGGGTGGTGGGCCCAGGGCTCATATAAATTTGAAGCGATTCAGGTGATGATATCTATACTAATATTATAAAGAGGTAAAATTTGTGACTTTGTGACGTTGTAGAGGGTAATCTCTGGATCTACTGAACCGATCTCAATTAAATTTAGTAAGAAGATAGTTTGAGACCCTGGTAAGGACATAGGATACTTTTTATCCCGGAAATCATTCCTTAAGGGGGTGAAAATGGGGATGAAAATTTGTATTGGGAAGGAAGCTTGGGGTGAACCCGAGCGAAGCGAGGGTGAGTCGCTTGTATTATATAAACTATTTATAAAACCGTACTTAATATGATTAAAATCATATTTTAGGTTACATTTCTGTTACTCTACGTTTCAGAACGGTTGCGCCGGCGTCGCTAGCCGGCTGGCATCACCCGTAGGTTTCCAAGTAGCTTAATGTATACGTCAATGTACGTAACCCCGGCATGGCTAGCTATTTTTTTATTATTGTTATGGTATTTTTATCGATATACTTCCCGTATACTTTATGGTGTCATGGTATGATAATACTACATTACTCACGTACATATTATTATGTTACTCAAATTAAAACATGTTTATCTTATTTTTTTAATTTTTCCATAAGTATAAAAGCCTAAATACCGGCCAAGTATACTTCAACTAACCTATTCTTTGAATAGTAGTATGTAGTGTACTTTGAATGTTTTTATTACTTACATCTTACGTACACTGTACTTATTGTACACATCTGTTATATTATAAATATTGTTAAGTGCGTTTGTTAATCATTTAACAATATATTTACATGCTTTATAAACATTTTATATTTACTTTATTAGGAAATCTTATCAACCCCTCATGTTTATCAGCCGTAAGGAATGAATTTTTCTGATTAAACGGATAACAAGAATTGACTGAATCGTTGTTTACAGAATATATGTAGGTACTTTACAGTGGATACGGATTAATCTATAGGTACTTCTAAAGATACTAGTCTATACTGAATAAAGGCTTAGTTATATTGTAATCTATTACTAGTAAAAACTAAAGCTGAAAAATATATAGGATAACGAAAGCATCCCCCAGACCGACCACTCTTCAGACTTTTGATACAAAACAAACAAATACAGGTTTACAGCCTTTATTCCGGATGTTTACCTCACTTTTTTACCTTCTATGATTGTACTTTTAATATAAATTTGCAATAATTCATCAAATTTTGGGATTTAGGGTGCCTAATCTCTCACATGAGAAAATAATTTCTATTAAACTTGTTTCTCCTTTTCCGCATAGCTTATTTTATCATATACATATTATGTATCCAACTTATCTAATATCTCGGAGAGCACGTAAAGCCGTCGGTCCTGCACCTTAGCTCTCACCGATCGTGTCGAGTAGTCGTCTCATCGGAGTATGAGAGTGCCAGGAATAGAGAGTGCACTTGTGTCTACGCTCACACGCGCTGCACTATAATATCTCCTGCCCAGTTGGCTAGTCTCAATGAGATTACTATAATTATATTATAAAGAGTCTGAGTTGGTTTGCTTGTGTACGCATTAGTCTCAGGAACTACTGTTCCGAATTGAAAGATTTTTTTGCATTAGATAGCCCGTTTATTGAAGAAGGCTATAGGGTATATATTATCGTGCTACTACTCAAGGAAGCGAAGCAGTAATATAATATATAGTCTATTTCATACTAATCGTTAAAACGTACCTAGGGACGAACCCAAACGAAGTAAGGGCGAGCCGCTGCTTTATTTAATTTAAACAAAAAATTAAGACAGGCTGATAGATAAATATATTAAGAAAATGCTGTTTTTTATTTTATATCGACTGTAAAATACTAGGATTTTCAAATATTTAATGTACACTTGAAGCTTCTCTACTATTTTCATATAAGATTTAAATTACAGTCCGCACGAACAGATTTGTGAGTTACAGCTATTGCAAAAAACACGAAAGAAAACATTTTTAATATTTAATTGTAAATGATTGTTTATACAATGTCACATCATTAAGACCTCTATGTATACGAGTATATAATATAACTTTAAATTTCCATTCTTGAATATAATTAATAAGTTATAAGACATACTACTTGTATACCTATAACACTGTTACAATATAAAAACATAATAAAAATAAAATAATGAAAATGCAATCACTTGTTATACATTGTTACACATTTCTTCTCCAGAGTTGCAACTGTCTTATTGCTTTTGTAATTGCTGTTTAGAATACAATCTTCATAAAAAAAAAAATAGTATTTAAAAGTAACTCTTCGTCTTAAATTTATTTTTAGTGTAGTGTTTAAAGTGAAATATGATATAGTTAGTAGCATTTTAGATTGGCATGACGGTTACCGTAGCATGATTTAGGGATAGTCCGCGTAAAGTATTTCGTTTTCTAGATGGTGATGACTTTTTGTAATTTGCTTTACCTACTAGGTATATATTAAAGTAAGCTACGTTATAGTCTTCGCCATATTATGTGACTTAAGATCTCTCTTGGGCCAAACTTATGTAGCGCACGTAGTACTTGTCATCTGAAGTCTTGTACCATTAGACGACTAGATACCTACATACGTGCGTGTTAACAGGCTTCTCCTGGGCAAACTCGCTAGATCGTAGACCTTATCTGTGCCTTCGAGCCAAGATGAGGGTCAAGAGGCCCATTTCTAATAAAAAAAAAATACACATTATATGTACGTTAACATCATGACAACAAATCACCACCATCTTATTCCAATTTCGTATTTTAAATATGTTTTTGTCCTATATGTGGTATAAATATTGGTCGTAGCATACTGTTAAACTAGTCCGTAGCATTTTTGTATGCAATATTATGCAATGCAATGGTTCTAATGAATGTTATGCTTTATTTACACTTATGTCTATGTTTATTGCGAATCAAGGATTGGAAGCCTTACTTCCTCTCAACACTCACAAAGGTAATTTGTACTTAAAAAAGTAATGATTATATGAAATTCTATTTCAGTGACACTAAAATTACTATTTACTTCTAAAATTTCAGAGGATATAGAGGTAGCTCCAATAAGCGTCGTGAGAGTCGTCGTTTTGCGATATACGGCGTATACGCATGGGGCGTCCCGGCTATACTCACTGCGTGTACCGTGGGAATGCAGTTTGGAGACGTTCGTGGAAATGTTATTACACCCGGTTTTGGAAGTGTACGGTGCTGGTTTGACAGTAAATATTTTTTTCTCTTGTATTTCTATTATAATTAAAATTAAAAGTATCCTAATATATTTATCCTCATTTTAATTTATACTCAACAAACAATGTTTATTTGTGTTTTTCTAACTATCGACGTGTATTAAATATACCTTAAAATATTAGAAGCAATTACACTACCGGTTTTTTAAGTAAATTTATTTCTTTCAATGCAATTTAATTCAATTATTTATTCCATCGCTTTTTGGAGCAGGACACAATTATTTACGTTGCCAATGTTGTGTAGAGTTTCTAATTATTAAACATACGTCAGTCATGTTATGAAAAAATAATTATAATTGTTCGCAGATTGGCTCAGCGAACTCGTTTACTTCTTCATCCCAGTTTTTGTACTGGTAGTATGCAACTCGGTATTCTTTACTATAACGGCGTATCGTATCCGGTCCATCAGACAGGAAACCGCCATATTAAAAGGCGCTGAATCTTCGCGGAGTGATAAACTGCAAAAGGATAAGCAAAGGTAACTCTAAAATATAAAATATTGATCGCTTTTAACACACAATATTGGCGATAAAACTTAGACATACAAGTTCCCTTTTTAACACGCTTTTATTAGCCTCACCTGTATCTATCTATGTAACGGAATCTTTGACCGCGATTTTCACCCACTTCAAAAATTTAGATTGAAGTGAAACTTTGCACATATAACAAGGACCGATGACAATACAACAATTTATAATTTATAACACAATTTATCTCCTAAGTGGGTAAAACAGGGGATGAAAGATTGTATAAAACTCTGTCGTTCTTAATGTAAAATGCACGGAAAGTGGTATTTAGATTTAAGATAAAAATAAGAAATATATTTATTAAGACATTTTAAAGACCGATAGCAGTTGTGTAGGTGATTAAGGCTACTTCATGAAAATTTCTAGGTACTAATTTATAAGATTTTTAACTGCGAAAGTTCAAGTCCAAAAGGTTTGAAATTTGGGAAATTGTTTTTATGCTCAAATTTTTATGCCTTCTTTTGTAACAAACTTACAAAGTATTCATTAACTTGTAAAAGCTTTTTAGATTGTAATATTTTAAGGATTTTTTTTATATACCTGAAATTTATTAAGTACTTCTTTCTTTAATCTTGCCAAATTATATATAATTTGCGTCTCCATAAATGATGTATTTTAGACAACATTATTCATATTTTTAGAACATTTCGCTATTTTCTAATACATTTGGCTTATAAACTTCCATAGTCCCCCATAAAAAAACCTGTATAGCATAATAAGTATGTACATATGTAATTTATAGACTAATTAATGTCCCCGTATATTTTTGTGATATTTTCTCCTGGGTTGTATTGTATAAGACTATTTATTATACTATAAATAAATGTGAGAATTTGTTTGCGTATTTGTCCTTCATGCTTCATTTAATACACAGTTAGATTATGACCTACCACCTACTTGAAACCAAGGAACGCACTCAATTGTAGCGAGGGTAAGTCGCTTGTCTATACTAAATATTATAAAGAGGTAAAGTTTGTGAGTTTGTGATGTTGTAGATGGTAATCTCTGGATATACTGAACCGATTTAGATGACATTTGGTAAGAAGATAGTTCGAGACCCTGAGAAGGACATAGGATACTTTTTATACCGGAAATCATCCCTTATGGTGATGAAAATGGGGATGAAAGTTTGTATGCGGAATAAAGCTAGGGACAAACCCGAGCGAAGCGAGGGTGAGTTGCTATCACAATATATATTTATACTTATGGATTATTTTTTGTAGATACGGACTTTACTTGAAGCTGTTCGTTGTAATGGGAGTAAACTGGTCGATAGAAGTTATCAGTTTCGCGGTGGGCGGCTCTAACTGGTACTGGATTGTAGTAGACCTCTCCAACATTGCGCTGGGAATTTACATCTTCTTCATTTTTGTGTGGAAAAATAAAGTCCGCAATTTAATAAGAAAAAGGTTTACTATTTTATTAAAATTATATTTGATTTTAAATATACCTACCGTCTGTAATAATTAAAAAATTGTGCGATATCTTATAGTTTTTGATTTTTTTTATTAAATCATTTTGCCTTAAATTAATTTTAATTTGATTAAAAAAATACCTCACCTATGTTTATTTATCTATGCAATATTCAAGTTATTTACAGATAGATGCTTTTACTGACTAAGCTTGTTTCATTAAGAAAAAAAGGAATAATTGAATATATTTAATGCAACATTTATAAGAATTTGTGCACAGATGGCGTGGTCTGCGCGGGCTGCCGACACAAGAGACCTTTGCGGGACGATCGAGCTCCGCGCCTACTGAGGACACGCGCGTGTCGGCTGATGAATCAGCAATGCGCTTGAAAGATATTCATTGAACTAGGTAATTTTCCTTTTTAAATGTGTATGTTTTTATTATATAGTAGTTTATATAAATGTTAAATGATAATTTGCATAGGTATAGTATTCTTAACTTAGATAGGTTTCTTTGGACTCTACGTGTGAACAGTACAGTACAAATAAACTCCCTACTAAATTGAGTTAAATTACTACTAAATTTTGTTAAATTAAAAAAAACAATTTTAAAATCCTGTCATAAATCCCCCTAATTAATTGATTTAAAGCTAAAATAACTCAATTGTCCTAGAGTAAACTAGTGCTGTATACTTATCTACTCCAACTTGATTAGCTTGAATGTTACAATGATTTTGTTGCAGATCCCAGTCATTAAAGCAAAGAAAATAGATAAATGAAGACCAAACTGACGTCTTATTAAGATAATATTGCTAGTCATCTTTAAAACAACACAGAAAACTTAGTATACGTATGGATTTTTAAGTAATGAGAGCGCTTTGAATATTTTGTGGACTGTGAGCACGATGTTTAGTAGTACAATGAATGCCAAGTTTACATGTAGATAAATTAGATATACCTAGATTGCAGATACCTGAATCTTAAATTCATTTAAGCACACACATATCATCCCTTAAGAGGAATGGAGAATGTATGTAGGTTTAAGATAATGTATTTCTTTTTAAATAGTAAGTAATTAAAAAGTTACATATATTAAGAGGAAGCTTACATAATAGCCATGGATTATTTTATGCTTTAAATATACTTAAGATATTTTTTAAAGCATATTATATGTATTTTAAACCACGTAGCAAAGATCAAATTTATATTTAGCTTTAAAATTGCAATTACCATTCTATCTTTAAATTTTAAGTTGTATTTGTACTTAGGATATTACTTTTGTAGTTTAAATAATAGTAAGCTACACATATTGTCTTTACATTGATATCATTAGGCTAACCTAACACTTTTAGTGTTTGGTACCAAAATTATATCTTAACGAAATATTTTAGTGGGTTCTTAACTTCTTACTTCTTACGTACTTGTCTTACTAAAATAATTTAAAATTCAGTGACATTCGTAATGTAATGAAGAAAACATATACATACTTATGTACAATTAAGAATATTTTTACCCGAATACAGCGAAGCCCAAAGGAGGGTTATGTGTTTGACCTGTATCTCAATGTCCGTAGTATCAGTATCTATGTATGTATATTATGTATGTCCGATCCTATGTTCTCTCGTTATTACTAAACGGCTAAACCGATTCTGATGATTCATACGTCATTCGATTCGCGTTAAGACGCCATTGTCATAGGGTATATAGATATCATCAAAATCAAAATGGCGGATATTAGGAACCAATTTGTGTGTCTTGAAAAAAACATTCGTCCGAATAGATCGAGTGGGGTATCAAATAAAAGCTTTTTAAGAGGAGTTTATAACATAATCTTTTACGGATATGATACATACACCTAAATCCAATAATTATATTATAGCCAGTGCTAATACAAAAATTAAAATAAGAAATTTAGAAACACCTAATAAATAATGCTGTAAAAACTCTAGTCGTTACTCACCTACCCTAGTATTGTTATAAAATAGATGCTCTTGAAACAATTGTTTTGTAATATAGATAGGTACGTTATGTTCACAATCACAAAACTACCGAAAAAATTGTTCCAAATCCAGCGGCAGCACACATGCACACACATTTATTATTTTATTTAAACCACTAATATTGCCAAATGACGTGAAAGAGATAGCAAAATCAAAACTATAAAAAATAGATTGCTTTTGTGTTTGTCATTGCGCGTAAGTTTTCTTTGAATTACGTAATCATGACGCCTTTATTTGCTTATAAATCAAATAAAATACAATAATTTCGGCTTACCTATGGTATTGGATCCCGTGAACTTTGTTTATTTTGCTTTAATAATAAGTGCATTTACGGATACACACTACGGCATTTTAGTTATAAAAACGAATGTTACACACCGGTTAGCAAAATGGGAAGCACGTGCATATATATTCTTTACTTATTCGAAAGCGACTACAGCTAATAGAGACTATAGCCTCCATTTGTGCGTTTCACTTTTAGAGCGCTAATAACGTATCTACCTCTTTTATTATATCATTGTATTGAAAGAGATGAACAAAGACAAAATATTCTAGTCGAACTCTAAATTATTGAAGTAATAATATAGAATATAATAAAAGACGTAATCAAATCCGCGCATCTTAAAACTAATTTATTAATATTATCTCATTGTAATGTGTTATATTCTATTCGGTAGGTAATCGAAAATCACAAACTTATTTGTAACTAATATAGACGAAGCCCGCCAAAATAAATGTTTAAGTCAAAATAGTGGTGTGGTTTGCTGTTTATGCTCCTAATCTCGATTTTGCCATACAAATCACTTACTTAAAGAATTAATTATATACATGTATTAGTTAAATTAATGTAGAATTTTTAAGAATAAAATATGAATAATAAAATTAATGCTTTAATCTGTTGTATTATTTAAGCCAAATATTTTTTAAGACCAAGTCAGAGCGGCAGTAGACGTCCCACTGCATGAATGTGCGAGAAACGCAAATAATAGAGAGGAGTGGAGGCAAATAATGAGCGGGTTACAAGATTTACCTTTAAGATGACCACGATCAGTCTGTCAAGACCCTTCCACTCCCCGACCTCAAATCGCCCGTAAATTATTTTTTCTTAAATTTTTGTTATATTCTCTTCCTTTTCCAATGCGTTTCATCCTACTATTATTCTATTTGGTTTCAAAAATTAACGACCTCAGTCTAATATGCTTAAAAAAGCTACAAAGTTTTCTTTTTCAAGATTTTATAATTTCTTTTTAGCCGACTGCACAGCGCAAAGAAGGTAATGTGTTCATCAGTCTATGTTCGTATATGGCATTCTAGAGACCAAAAGTGTGGATCAATTTTTAGTATTATGCTGTCGGAGAAATATTATATTATGTATCTACATGTACATCTCGCGGCAAGGATGAAACGTGTATGTCTCCGACTGCATACTACTATATTTCTTCGTCAACTTGTTTTCATCCTTAGCTTTTATGCAGTCGGGTTTTTATTTTTATAATATTTTTTTTATTATATTACAGCCAAATCCACACATACCTAATTGGCCTTACATTATCGGCATAGCTGGAGGCATTGCTAGTGGGAAGAGTAATATTACTAAAAAATTAAAATAACCATAAATAAATAATTCACATCATCATCAGCTGATAGGATTCGGCAAAAATTTTACCACCGGCCGCCAGCCTGACGTCAACTCTCCTCGGAAATAAATAATTTATACAAATAATAAAATTGTAACTAAGTCGAATCTGTACATTAAATATTTTTTGGAAAATCTTATTGAAATAAACATTATTATCGATACAGAGGCCGACACCTATACTTTTTAGAATTTTTGTTTGTCTGTCCGTCCGTCCGTCCGTCCGTCCGTCTGTCCGTCCGTCCGTCCGTCCGTCCGTCCGTCTGTCCGTCTGTCCGTCCTTCTGTCTGTCTGTTACCGCATGACAGAAAAACCACTGGGCGGATTTTGATTAAATTTGGTATGGTGATAGCTGGTTATCCGGGTCAACATATAGGATACTTTTAACCGCGGGAAAATATATAATTTTTAAGAAAAAATACAAAAACTGCATTGTAAGAGTATACTAATATGTAAAACCTAAGAATTTGGTTTTTAGTCATCTGAACGCGGGCGGAGCCGCGGGCAATGCTAGTCTAATATATTTCGATACGTATAACACATATTTACCTATTAGATATTCATATCTTAAATATTTTGGGCTGGCACCGACTTCGAAAATATCTGATTAGGTATCTATTCTGAATGAAAACCCCTGTTTAGTTATTTTTTACATTTTAGTGCCTGGAAGTCGTCTTTTTTTTAAGTTTTTATTTGTCTATTATTAGTATAGATGTATTAAACAGGTAATTTGTTAGAAGAAAGTTTTTTAATAACACGTTCGATTAAGCAATTTATTTTGAAAAATAATTTATTTGTTGATTTAAAAAAACGCTTGACCAATATCGATAAAATTTCTATGGGACAACCTGGGAAGTAGGTATACTTCCCAGGTTGTCCCATAGAAATTCTCTTTGAAACAAAAAAAATCCAAATCGGTTCAGACGTCTTCGAGTAATCGGTAAACATACATAAAAAAAAAGATTCCGACGAATTGAGAACCTCCTCCTTTTTGAAAGTCGGTAAAAAAATCGTGTTACCGCGTTATCTTATTGTTCTTGATTATTGTTCCATGAATCATGTGGATAAAGACATAATAGATAGGATACATGACATATGTAGTGTTTTATCACTGTTCCTGATAACATTACTTAACACGTTCACTGCGGTTCGCCCACAATCGGCCCGACACGGTACTAAATCAATGTGCACACAGGAAAAATAGGTCTCTCTCGCTTGTGCGGAATACCAAATTTCATCAAAATCCTTTCAGTAGTTTTTCTATATAGACTGCGAACATAAAATTATATTTGATAATATTTCTTAGAAAATTTATTTTGTAGTTTAATCGAAAATATGTCTAACTCATCTTCTTCATCTTTGCTTTGTTAACTTATTTTAGTAGAAAAAAAAATGTCAGTTCGTTACTAAAAAATACCTACTTTAATATCATTTAACAATATAATAGCATTATAGGAAATATCTAAAACAATTACAATTACATTTTCATCCTTATTTATTAATTATTTACGATGCTACCACGATGTAATTTATTAAAAAATAATTGGTCTTAAAAATTACATGCTTTTTATATGGGTGAGCCGCTGCTCACCCTCGCTTCGCGCGGGTTCGTCGCTAGGTACGTTTAAATAGATATAAATACTTATTAGCCAGCGTTCGCCATATAAATTTGTTTTTTTTTTGTTAATAATATTGACAAATATTGACATTAATATTTATACGATACTAACGTCTCTCAATTGTTTTGCCTTCCCGCAACCTCTCGTCTAACACTTAAACTTTATGATACGGTATTAAAGTTCAAATTGACTTTTAAGTATTATTACGAATCTTTTGTATAGGAGTATAGAAAAGTGTTGTTTTTAGTCTTTTTCAGGCAATTTTTAAAATTTTTCTCTCCGTAAGAACCATCCTCGTACTTCAAGGAATATTCTAAAAAAAGAATTAGCGAAATCGGTTCAGCTGCTCTCGAGATTTGCGCTTACCAACACATTCAGCGATTCATTTTTATATTATAGATAGATATTGTCCTCTTTAGGCAAAAAAATACGCGAGGAACTCCCCATGTCGAGTTGAATAAAATGCGTAGAGCCTTCTCTTATCTGTACAATTGACTAGCTTCTACAAGTGTTATCTAATATAATAGAATAAGATACATCATTTTGTCGGGTAAAGGTTCTTTGTATATATCTATTAATATATAATAATTAAAATTAATAAAAATTGTTATCTAAAAATGACTTTTCTTTACAAATTCAATATCCACCATTTAGGATCACACTCAATGTATTATGTTTTATTTCTAATATCCTAAAAGGACACTTAGTACAGATTACACTCGTTATTATTATCGTATAATAATATAATGGCATTGTCAATGATCACTCAGCAATCAAATAAAAGCAAGAGCGTGAACTCAGGTAGTATTATTCAAGCAAATACTCTGTCGGAGCATTCTCAGATCTAAAATGAATATATTTATTAAAATTATTTTGTTCTCAAATGTAGTAAAACAAGCTGTTGGTCAATTAAATATATTTGATGAAGCAAATAGGGATATAAAGGACCAAAGAATTCGTTTGATTGTAAGTCTAGACTCTAGCGCAACAAAAATAAAAGATTTATTAGGAAACTTTAAACTTCAAAAAGTAACTCATCTGAAGTAACTAAATTGCGTTTGTTTTCTTGCAGGCTGAAATAATTCTAAGCAATTTGAAAACCAACGGGTGGGATAATATTTTCTTCATCGGAAATCTACCAGACTCTTTGTACACCAACCTTAGACATTTGCCTTTTACTTTTTCTGTAACTGGCATTTCTGAAGATGATGAGCAAATTGAAAATGTGGTTCCATACTATTCCAATGTAATTATTTTTAACTGTCATAATTTTGAAGAATTCGAAGACGCTGTACGAAAAATTATAACTCTACCTTATTGGCATGCATTAGGTAATATTATTTTATATTATCACGTTCCATACGAAAAGGACGAAGTTGCAAAAATATTTTTTTCCTTTTGGTTTTATAGAGCCATTAATGTTATCATTGTTCAATATAATAATACTCTGGAAGAGATATTAATATCGCAATTTAGTCCTTACATGAGCGAAGATTACAAACTGGATAATTTGTTTGGTTGTTGGACGGCCCGCAAAATTGGTATGCCAATAGAAAACTTTAATGACAGTTTCGTTTGTGTTAGAGAATGCCACAACGTGTCTTTACATTCTAAATTACGGGCAAACTTTCTAGGAACCTGCATAGGCTTTAATACTGAGACGGTACTTTTAAGCAATTCGAGTAATATAAAAAATATGACATTATTTGAAGATAAAGCTAAAGATTTACACGGATTCATCTTTTTAGCATATATCGTTGAAACTATGCCATTTTTAGAGATAAAGATTCATGAAAATGGAACATACACGTTGCTTCATAGAGATGGAATGATCTGGAATACTATGGCAGAATTGTTTAATTTTAAAATAGATTTGTTCCCTTCGAAGGAGACAATGAAAAAAGATTTTGATTTTGAAATTAATACCCAAAATGTATTTTCTTTTACATTTAGAAAAGCGGACTTAATTTTATTTCCATTGTATCAATTTGATTTAGTTGTAGCGGAGATTGATTATACGGTTCCTTTTGCCGACAGCGGTGTGTGTGTGCTGTCACATAGGGCCGATTATGAAACTATAATTTTTAATGAAAAATTGATACTTCGAAACATATTGGTAGTAAACGAGTTTTTTGCATGCTTTTTATGCACTTGGTTTGTATTTTTCATCTTTAATACAGAGCGACTTGGAAGATTTAGCCTAGATCAGCTCGGAAAGGATTTAATAAACACATTTAGAATGGTACTGTCAATTAGTTTGAATAATCCACCTAGGAGGGCATCCTTTCGTATATTTTTTACGATTGCTTTATGGTGTTTTTTTATAATAAATTTTAGCTCGCAAGCATCTATCATTTCTTTGTTTTCTGTACATAAGCGAGGAAAAGAAGTTGATACTTTTGAAGATATAATAAAAAAGGATTATGTAATAGAAGGAATGGCTTCACCAGATGTAGTTCTTCCAGATGATGAAGAAAAATTTCGAATATTTACTTCTAGAATACGGGTGGTTCACAATTTTTTGGAGTGTGTGAATAACATGGCTAATGATAGTCGGCGCTTTTGCTTAATAGATTGTGCAGTCGGTCGCTATCTAACAAGGAATTTATTAAATCGTAAAGGCGAACAATTTCTTCACGTTGCAACTGATGCTAGAGTTCATAGTCACTATTTAATGATGATACTCCATAAACACAGTCCATTGACGGAGCGTTACAATCGTTATATGATGGCATTGTTTGAAGCAGGTATTATAAGGAAATGGATGGATTACAGGTATTTTGACTTGAACGAAGAGGCTCCTTTAAAACCCTTAAGTATGGAAGACCTAGGAGGAATATTTGAACTCTATTGCATTTTAGTAGGTATAAGTTTTGCAGTTTTTTTGCTAGAAAATTTTCTAAGATTTGTGTCTTGGATTATGCGAAAATATCTGTATAAATCAAAACAAAATGCCTTTGTCGGTACCAATAATTTGAGGAGGGTTGGACCGATTTGACATTTTTTTAATATGGATTCAAACATTGGGACAGATGTATTAGTTTTAAATATAACGGAAATATAATGCCATTCATTTGGGAAAAAGCCTGTGTACATAAACAAGAATATAATATTTATAATATGTAAATCTCGCGGCAAGCTTTTATAATATCATATAAAAAGTGTAATGTAATAAATTGTGGGATTTGATTTAATTTAAAGTTTATTCTCTTCTTTTTAGAGCATTTAAATAAAGCTTGTTTTTAAAAATGTTTTTTACGATTAATAATCTAGTCAGTGCTTATATCCTAAATCTTCGTAGTTAATCTGTATGCTTTATTACCACTGAACAGTTACTAACCATCATGCTAGACTCTAGAGTGATAAAACTTTATTGCCTATTAACTTCAGCAAAGACTGTTTGTTATATTGAACATTAATAAATCAAATTAGTTTGTTTGTAATACTTTCTAAGAAAATCTAATCTTTACATATAATAAAATTCTAACTAAGTCAAATCTGTAGGTACATTAAATATTTTTTCGAAAATCTTATTGAAATATTAAGTAAGTCGGGGCCTACTTGACAGACGAATACAACTTTGACCACTGAGACGTCCAGTACTTTAAGTACAATAACAATAATTTTTCGCGGAGCCAAAAAGAACTTATTTTATATAAATTCAATTTTTCACGTGGGCATAGGTCAACAACTGCGCTGATAGTCCAGCCGAGTTGCAGTCTGCAGCCTTTTGTTTATCATCGCGTGGCCGAAAATGCTCGCTTCAGCACTTTTCTATCTTCAATAATTTTTTTCTCAGCATCTATTAGTGATAGAAACTTTCGGTTTGCTTCAGTTTGTTCAATATTGTTTTCCCAACGCATACATACTACATAATTTGTCACGATAACTTTTCAATAGTTTTCGAGATATTTTTATTAACATCTTATTTTTTATTAAAAAAATAGCGGCCAATCAAAATAAATCATTTTTTTATTTTTATTATTCTGAACTCAAATATAAATATAGATATATATATAAAATTTTCCATTTCCGCTGATAGTGTAGTTTAAATTCTATATTGTAGTTTCATCAAAATCCAATTAGTAGTTTTTGTGTACTCAGCTGTACAAGTTACTATATTTGTTTAACTATCCCACGGGAACTCTTTAATTTTCCGGGATGAAAAGTATCTAAGATGTTGACCGGGAATATAAGGTACCACTATGCAAAATTGCATTTAAATCGGTCGAGATGAACCCGTTTTACCGCAGGAGATTATCTCATTCCCACAGGAAAACGTTATAATACCCGAAAAATTATTTATGATCAGAATTACTTGAATCTTGGTATTAATGCTCTTAAATACAATAAAATAAAAGCGTGTTTTGGCATTTCTAGAAATTCATCCCCATAACGGGGTTAAAATAGGGGGTGAGAGTTTCCCCCCCCCCCCTAACGTGAGTTCACCTTGTCGTGGTGGGGGGGCTCAGTAGTGCCCGGCAATCCAACCGGGCGCGAAGCTATGAAACGCACAGGGAGGTTGCCCACTTCGGTAGGCGGTGGGAGGTGGCCCTCTTCGCGGGGCGGTGAACCATGCGGGTTGCTCTTGGTACTTCTCTGATAGCAGAGTGGACTGTGGAGCAACCCCATGGTTGTGGTGGTCTGCTTCGGCAGACCTGCCGTCGGGGCGTCGTAGTTGAATGCGTAAGCGATCCTGCGACGCCCCATTAAGACGGGGGAAGGTTTTGTTGGGTTTTAGTGGGTAGTACTGGCTGTATTACGCCGGTGAGTCCCACACGTCGTGCGTAAATGCATTTCCCAACGTTAAAAAAAAAGGGGGTGAGAGTTTGTTTGAAACCTACCTTTTTAGAGTTTGTTTTTGTAGTTTTAGCGCGAGCGAAGCCTACTTTTTTACTTTGGTTCTGCTAGTTATGAATAAAAATTATAACTTTCGCGATTTGTATACATCTATACATATAATAAAATTGTAACTAATCCGAATCTGTACATTAAATTTTTTTTGGAAAATCTTACTGAAACCAACATTATTATCAATACAGAGGCCGAATCTATATTGATAATAATGTTGGGTATATATTTTTAGCATTTTTGTCTGTCTGTCTGTCTGTCTGTTACCGCATCACAGAAAAACCACTGGAGGGATTTTGATGAAATTTGGTATGGTGATAGCTGGTTATCCAGGTCAACATATAGGATACTTTTTACCGTGGGAAAATATCTTATTTCTGAGAAAAAATACAAGAACTGCAATGTAAGAGTATACTAATATGTAAATTGTAAAACCTAAAAATTTGGTTTTTGGTCATCTGAACGCGGGCGGAGCCGCGGGCAATGCTAGTATATTATAAAACTGCATACGCGAAAAAGATTGTTTTATATAAGATCTGTAACAATAACGAATAAAAGTGTACCAACACGAATATAAAATGTCTCAGCCGATAGATACATATAAACACCAACAAACAGGTACCTACCTAATTAGATTGTTCATACGTGATCTGTGACAATTTAATATTTATCTATATATAGGGCAATTACGAAATAATTGCGTTCGTTCGATCCCTTGCTGTATTGTTATTACCAAAACTTTAATTATGCAATTAATATGTAGGATATTTAAGGATTACTCTATAAATCGTACACTTTAGAAACAAGATTACTTGTAGTTTCCTCGATAGAAAAAAAAATCCAAAATGATATCTAAAAAACAAAATAAACCCTTAGTGCGGCGAAAATAATTCAAGGAAGTTCATCAGTTTTTTAATAATAACAAAACTATACGTTTTCTATATCGTATACACTTTGCATTTTCAAAATGTGTATTTGTTTTAATAATACGAAAGAAATACCTAAATTCGCACGCGTTCCGTCCATCCTTTCATTTCAATTGATGGTAACGGCATCTGTTTCATAGACTAGCATTCATAATATTTCGCTCGATTGATAAAGTTAATCTAAAGTAAATTATTCGATGGGTAAAACAAAAATGAATATCCTTATGAACAGTATTTTTTTACAATAATAAATATTGTAATCAAGACTTACAGCAAGATCTAATAATAAAAGAAAAAAATATTTAATGTATGATCAATGTAGGTAGGTAAAAAGTTGGTATTATTGCGTAGCAGCATAATTTTTACTCGGTACTTGGTACAAGACCCTGAAAAATGGTATGCATACCAAGAAATTGGTATGTCCTTCGAACAATGACAAGCATGTTTGTTATTGCTCGAAGGGTATGTAAGTATAACATCTCTGGTCCACGACATCTAATAATGATGGCGGCGGCCGGCCGCGGCGCGCCGGCGCGCGATACGCTCGGCGCGTGCCGTTGTGATGTTAGTTAGAATTGGTATGTGCTATTAGTAAGATTTCATCTTTTTCATTAATTGTAACACACTAATTGTGGCCCGGCGTTCCTTACATATCGAGGGGCCTTGGTGATCCTGCGGGGGGCTACGGCCTCCACTGTCTTAATCCTGTTCTTCTGGTTAACGACATCAGAGTATAATATGAGAAGAATATATACAATTGTATGTTGCCACCGTGAATACAATATCTCTATAATAATAGATATAAATATAGTTTTGTCTATAATAATGAGCTTATTAATTGATTTTTAAAGTAAATTGCCCTTCAAAATACCTGTTATATATAATTCTAAAGCCAAAAAAATATATATTATTAAGAAATATAACATATTTATTTGATTATTACGTAATAAAATGAAATTGATATGTGATATAATTGACAACATTTCAGAAATATGAAGAGCCTAAAATAAAAATACCGTTTCTTTATTTTCCTATTCTGAGTTCAAATATATTTTTTTGGGATTTTTTTAATGCTTGGTTTTGGAGAAAAAAAATAAAATCTGAAAATATTGTGGTGACGTCACAAATAAGGTTGAATGAGATGATTGCCTTTGCCTACTAAAGATTAGGATGAAATTATTCGTCCAACGTCAGTGTCATATGTGTCATTTCTGAATAATTGACGTTTGAATTTTGAATTGTTTCTCGAACTTTTGCAGTTTTTGCGCTTGAGCAGTTTTTAGTGTCCTTTTAGTTTTTATTAATACATATTTAGCAAAAAAATGAATCCCCATGAAGCGTGGACACCATATAAGGATACAAAATTTTGTTTTGTACCAACCTGCAAAAACAGTTCTAGAAATACTCAGAAGACATTTTTTGGGGTACCAAAATCAACGAAACAGGAGTGGTGCGAAGCAGTGGGTATTGAATGCCCCAAACGTTTTCTATACATATGTGAAGATCATCTCAATGTAAGTAAATTTTTACATTTAATTACGTACATAAATGCACATGGCAAATCTTCTCTAGTACTCTTTATTTAAAACACATATTATTATGCTTAGCAATTTAGTGATAGATAAGTCGGCCTCATTTTATTGAAACAGCCTCATTTTATCTAAACAATAAAGACATCATTTTTAAAAGCTCACATGCATGCCCTGAACATATCATCCTGTCCTAACATGTTTATTTTGTTTTATGTAATTTGTTATGCAATTAGGAGGATTGTATTCCATTTTGATATAACTATGTACTCAAAATATTAAAAAAGTAGGCTTTATTTTTTGCATATTTCTTACTTAATAATTTTAATTCTTTTTTAGTTGAAGGAAGATGTGGAAAACTACTTGTTTTGGAAAACAGTGCAAGGACGTCCTAAATTAAAGTCTCGGTTACCACAGTCTCTTGTCAAAACTCCCTCACAAGATCTCACTTCAATGAATGAACCTAAGCCTAGCACGTCATCATCAGCATCATTAATGGAAGTAGATGTAGTAGCTGCAACTACTAAAGCTCATAAAGGAGTGCAAGTAAAGCCAAAAACTGCAGATCGCACAACTTATTGCAAAGTTTATAAAAAGCATTCACAGATACTCTTGCTAGAAGAAGAAGAAACCACAGCTATGGAAGAAGCATTACCTTCAACACAAGGAAGTACCACAGAAAGTATCACATCTGCTGACATATCGGAAATCTCCTCTGAAATTAATGTTCCAGCACCAAACCCAAACAAAAGCTTCATGTTTAGTGTTATCAAAAATAAACCACACAGTTACATTGGTTTACCAAAGACCTACTATTGGCTGATTGAATATTTACAAATTAATCTTAAAGTAAAATCATCACACATTATAATAACATTATATAAAATTAGAAATAATACCCCTTTCTATCAGATTTCTGATATGTTTGAGGTGTCATTAACAACGTTATGGAGGATATTTTTTAGGACATTGTATTTATTATCCAAATTCTTTAAACAACTTATTTTTATTCCAAGTAAATATGATGTAAAAAGAAATTTGCCATCCTCTTTCAAAACAAACAAGGAGTACTCAAATGTGTTTTGCATAATCGATTGTTTTGAAATAGAGATAGAAAAACCATCTAATCCTATAAATCAGTCCCTAACATGGTCACAGTACAAAAATGCGAATACACTTAAGTACCTGATCGCTTCAACTCCTGATGGTTTCATTAACTTTGTATCTGCTGGATATGGTGGTCGTATATCTGATACTAATATAGTAGAAAGCTGTGGTTTCCTAGACATACTACCACTTAACTGTACTGTATTGGCAGACAGAGGCTTTAAACATATAGATACCCTATTAAGCAGGAAACAAATTAAACTTCTTCGGCCACCCAGTGTGTCAAAGGATATGAAATTATCAAAACAAGAAGCTATCAAAAGTAAAGTCATCGCTAGTCTACGGATACATGTGGAAAGGGTAATAAGAAGAGTGAGGTTATTTAAGTTTTTGAAACCACATTCAGTGATAAATAATAAGTTGATCCAACATACAGATGAAGTGGTTATAGTAGCATGTGGTTTAATAAATTTACAGAGTTCTATTGTAAACAATAAATAAAATACTTAAAAATGTAGATTTTTTTATTTTGCACTATCCAAAATAAGTTTAAAAATAAATTGCTTCCAAAACTTTTCTGTCGCATCTAACAATTTCATGACATAGTTATTGTCATATTCCACTATATATTTATGTATTAGTCTTGTCTGTTCAAAACTTGGATCAGCAACACAAAACCATCCCTTTAATTTTTTTGCAGCATGCATCTGTAGCATCATTTGAGCTTTATATTTGTCTTGCACTTTATTGTTTTTTATATAATTTTTTAAACTTTTTTCATATAATGGACATTTTATTTCAATAACGAAATCCTTACAAATTCCATCTGGAGAAACACCAATAATAGGAGACACCAAAATTAAACCTGTAGTCTCAATAACTCCAAGATCTTTTTCTAATTCTTTCAGTACTTCTTTTTCTAGTAGCTTACCTCTTCTTATAGCTAAAGTCTCTGGCACCTTGTATCCACCAAGAATGCTTTGCACTAAAGCACCATTTTGGGTTTTACAATGTATGGACTCATATATTCTTGAACCAGTCACTCTCCCTTGTCTCATGGAATGCCAGAGTTTTGAATTTGCTTGTTCTTTTGTTTCTTCAGTAATCTTAACTATTACATCTGAAGTGATAATTTCTTGTGAATATATATTAAATTTTTCATAGCAATGATCAACTTCTTGGTTTACAAATTGCAGCATTAAATTAAACACACTAAAATCATTTAATGTGAACTGATGATTTCCACTGTAATTTAGTAACATTCCCGTAGTCATTTTACGCCGCTTACATTCTTCAGAAAACATTGAAAAAGTAACATTCATGTTTATATTTTCTGGTGTAGATCTTTTCTTTTTCCCAATGTTTTTTGCCATGATGAACTTCTGATCACCTACAGCTCCAGCAAGTTTTGGTTTACTCCAATAGCAAATTATAGATGTCACTGAAGGTTCATCTGATCGTTTAATGAGCCAAATGGCAAAGCATATGGCATGCTTGCATCCTCCTGCAGAAGCAGCACAGTCGTTACACTCTACTGAGACGATCTTCTCGTCAGATTCTTTAATAACAGCTGTGATCTGATACAACTTCGCCTTCACTTTGTGTTCAGGTGTGACCCGGCACTGCACAGTACACATGTCTCCTTCCCTCTTGACTTCTACATACCCCACTGCTGTATCCACATATGCCTCTCGTGATGCTAATAATGCCTTAGCACTGCGTGTTTCCGCAATGTTGTAACATTCATTTTCGTGCATATATTCTAATAGCATCAAATAGTCTACTTTCGGCAAGTTTCTGCTATCCGCAACTTGAAATCCGTTAGAAAGTTTCATGGTGACTAAATAAATATATAGTATCAGTTGAAAATTAATAAAATAAGACAATCACAATAAAAAACAAAACGTTTAAGCTTTGAAACTTTTGTACACAGACAACTGACAAGGAAAGATTTTGTAATTCACTATGTGTAACTCAGCTCAGAGCCGGTTCAAATATTCAGTTCACAGTAGCTAGAGCCGTTGAGCTGCGGCTCAGTTGCTAGATAATCGGTTCACAGCTCAATATTACTTAATATGGCTCCGTGCATCACTTCAGCGCCACCTAACGTCAGCTATTTCGATGGACCCGAGCCGACGGACCTGTACTATAGTCTATAATCTATACTTTTTACAGACAGGTCAAATTAATTGTTTAATATTTTTTATTCTTATAATAATAATAATAATTAATTACACGCTCCGTGTTTTAAAATAATATTAGGATAAAATCTAAATATACTTTATTCAAATAGACTTTTACAAGCACTTTTGAATCGTCAATTTTACATTTTAAATTTTCAGTGTAGTTAGTTTGTGCGGAAGTTACCGCCGTCTCGGAAGGCAGTTCTACTACTTAGTTTTATACAACACTAAACTAATATTAAGTAATAGTTTTATAGATTAAATATAAATAACTAGTTTTCGCCCGCGGCTCCGCTTGCGTGATACAGGAAACTACGGTAGTCGGTACCTACGTTAATTAAAGTAGGTAGGTACTCTATGTCCTTTTCTGTCTGTATTTAATGATAATCGGGATTCAGGTGAATAGTTAAGGCGTGAAAGCGTAACAAACAAACAAACTCACTAGCATTTATAATAATTGCATGAAATTAGCATTCCCCTATAATTGTGTAAGAACGAAAAAATATGACTATAATAACTTTTTTCGAAATGCTGCTTTATTACATACAAATATAATTTAGGTACATCATACACGTCATTTGTTTGAACAGAGTCATAATTAGCTGTAAATCTATAGTTATAAGTACCCATATAGCATCAATTGAGCTGAACTGTGAGCCGGTTCACAGCTCCGGTTCAAGCATATGACTCATGAGCTGACCTGCAGCTCATAAAAATTCATTGAGTTACCCATGTCTATTTGTAATGCCAAAATGACATTAGTATATTTTTTTTGACGGATAAGAGAAAGGCAAAGGCAATATCGCTATTCAACCTAATTAATGACGTCATTTGTCGCTTACGTCTTTTTAGAATAAGACGAGTTTCAAGGTGGAAATTTTATATGAAAACGGCATCATTTCGAAAAAAGAAAAGATATGGGTCGCCTCATTTTTGATCTAGTTTTATTTAAAATAATAACATAGGGATGTTAAAAAATGAAATGTTGTCAATTGGTGGCAACATTAACGTCTGCACTCTGTCTGCAGTCTACACGTCATATTGACATTTGTCATCCATGATATTGACATTTTACGATAATTGTTTTATCTAATATTAATCTATCTAGTTAAAAAGCTAAAAATTTAATATTAATTAAATACTATTATATCAAACGTTATATACATACAACTATTATTTTATTGTGTACAAAATTAATGTTTTTTTAACTTGTTACTAAAACTGATGTTAATAGGTAATAATATAATTAGATACATTTAAAGCAATTGTTCAACTACACTCATTCCGTCATTTTAATTATTAATGAGTGTATTTATTGTATCAATGTGCAAAGGTGATCCTCAAGTAGAATATGATTTTTTATAGAATTAGTATTCCTCTGCATAAATTTATTATGCATCTAAGATAACCTTTGTACCGTTCATAAATGTAAATAATATTAAAAACCATGGCTAACATTACATTCTTTTTATGTTTCTCATTTTTTGGTTTTCTGTTTTCAATTAGTATTGCATATTTACTTAAATTAAATAGCAATACAACAGGTTGGTGACAATTTTAATATAGCCATTGTGAAGCTTAAACTAAATCCTAAATTTAGAAAAAAATAAAGCAAAATATTATTACAGTTTCAATGGCAAACAATGGTATTCTCTTTGTATCAAATGCTGCCAAAGCCCACAAGCTGTGCTCTAAAGTATCAAAGTTTGTTAAAGACGTTTTATATATAAAGTTTAATGGTGGGCCAGATAGCACAAGATCAGTTATAAGTAAAGAGATTGTTGATATCTACAACAAGGTAAGTCTAGAGTAAATAATTATTTACTTATAATATGTAACTACATTATTTTTAACAGCTTGTTAATTGCGATTTTTGCTATTTTTAGTGTGGAAATTTAGATGTAAGGCTAATGTTGAAACCTATAAACTCTGTAAATAAAATAAACACTTCTAAAACTATTCAACTTGTGATGTATGATAAAGAATTAACACAAGACATTAGTTATTTAAAGCAATCATTGGAAAATGTAGTAAGTGAATGCCCAATGCAATGCATAGGTAAGATATTAACAAAATTATGATAAACTAGTGACTCACCCTCGCTTCGCTCGGGTTCGTCCCTAGGTCAGTACATTTTAATTTTTTGAGCGGAACGATAATTCTTTTTCTAAAGTAAAAGTAGCCTATGTTACTCCCTATAACATCAGCTATCTCGCAGTGGAAGTCCCATCAAAATTAGTCCAGCCATTTCAGAGATTATCTGGAACAAACAGACAAAAATTTTAAAAATTGAGTTTTTCTTATAAGTACCATATATAATTTCTTATGCATTTAGTAAAACGCTGTTATTTTGACATTACAAACAGACACTTCAATTTTATTTATCTGTATAAATTTTAATATTTGTATGCAGCCTTTTTTAATGTTTCACTACTGGGCACAGGTCTGTCTCCCTTTACTACAAAAGGGATCAGACCATAGTCCATCATGCTAACGTCTATGTCTCCTAGGTGCTAGGTTCTAAGTTCTTGTGGTTAAAAATTATTAATACAAATTATTTACAGATAATGAATCACCCATTAGTGTTGTTACCAGTGAAGATGTGAAAACTTATGAATATGTTGCTCTTGGTGGTACATTTGATAGATTACATAATGGACACAAAATTCTTCTATCACAAGCTGCTTTGAGATCCACCAACCATGTCACTGTTGGAGTTACAGATGTAAATATGATACAGTGTAAGAAAAATGTTGTGTGTTAAAAGTTTTCAAATAAAATATGATTTTGTGCAAAATAACACACCTTGGGAATGATAGGACCTCTTAAAGGTGTTTAATTTGAATTGAATAAACATTGTAAAATATAAATAATAAATATAAATGAAAAAAGTAAAAAAAAGATGATTAATACAGCTGAAATTATTTCACTAGTTCGACTCTGGGCTAGGCCCACTTTTTGAATTCGGTTTAAGGTCATTGAGTTTCAGTAAAAAAATTGTAACTGAGTAATCAAGGTAATTGAAATATAACTTCATAAAAAATGTCATTTTTCTTTATCTGATTTGAAAAATAATAGTATAAATATTAAAAGTTATTATTAATAAATTATAATTTATATTTTGTCATTTTATTATTATAAATTATAACATTACAAATAAATGTTTCATTTTTATAGCAAAAATATTATGGGAATTGATAGAACCAGTTGAGCAAAGAATAAACAATGTACTGCAATTTTTGAGAGACATAAATGCAGATTTGGAGTACAACGTTTTACCAATTCAAGACATGTATGGACCAACAAAAGATGATCCTAGATTTCAGGTAACAAAAAAATAATAATATTATAGTGTTAAAAAAATCCTATAGTTTTATCAAAATCATTTTAAATAATTTGGGACAGTAAGGAAAATATGAGCTTAGTTTATTGTTAATATATGCAACATAATAATGACTGTTACGGACGAGGAGTACTACTTTTGCGCGTTCTAGATTTAAGTCACGTCCCTTTATTATAAAATCCAATAAGATGTTAGACGCACAGTAGTATATCTAATAAGATTGTTAATTAGAAATAAAAACACGAGATTTTGTTCATTCTGTACCATTCCATGGATTGCCATAGAAGAGGCAACTAGCAAGAAAAACTAAGGTAGAAAATAAAGGAAGAAATAAGCAATTGGAGTTTCATTAACCTACTTCCAAAAAGGAGGTGGTTATCAATTCGTCGGAATCTTTTTTCTTTATGTACTCAAAGACACCTGAACCGATTTGGAAAGTCTTTTTTTGTTACAAAGGGTATACTACCCAGGTGGTCCCATATAAATTTTATCGAAATCGGTCGAGCGGTTTTTTAAAAAATCAACAATTAATTATTTTTTTAAATAAATTGTTTAATCAAATATGTTATTAAAAAACTTTCTTCTTACAAATTACGTGCTTATTACGTCTATACTAAAATGGAAAAATAAAAACTAAAAAAAAACCGACTTCCAGGCACTAAAATGTAAAAATGTAAAATGTTTAGTTAAACAGGGGTTTTCATTTAGAATAGAAACCTAATCAGATATTTTCGAAGGCAGTGCCAGCCGACAATATTTTAATATATGAATATCTAATAGATAAATACGTGTATGTATTTTATGTAGGTATCGAAATATATTGGATTTGCTTTGCATCGGCTGGCACCGACTTCGAAAATATCTGACTAGGTATCTATTCTAAATAAAAACCTCCGTTTAGTTAGTTTTTACATTTTAGTGCTTGGAAGTCGGTTTTTTAAGTTTTTATTTAGAAAACTTAAATTCAGTTCACTACAATAACTTTTTATACTTAAGTGCCTCTCTCTTCTATGATTTAATTGTTTAATAATCATTCTTCATCTATACATTTAATAAAATTCTAACTGAGTCGAATCTGTACATTAAATATTTTTTGAAAAATCTTATTGAAATAGTCATTATTATCGATACAGAAGCCGAATCAATAGTTTTTAGAATTTTTGTTTGTCTGTCTGTCTATCTGTCTGTCAGTCGGCCTATCTGGGAACGCATCACGAGATAACCACTGAACAGATTTTGATGAAATTTGGTATGATGATAGTTGGTTATCCGAGTCAACATTATGGATACTTTTTGCTGCGAGAAAAATAACTCATCTCTGAGAAATTTATACTAACCGTTAAAACGTACCAAGGATGTATGAACCCGTGCGGAGCAAGGGTGAGTCACTTGTTCCATAATATGATTGCATACCTTCAGCTCTTAATAGTAAGTGAAGAAACATCTCGTGCAACAAAGAAAATAAATGACAAACGAAAAGAAAATGGACTACAACTATTAGATTTCCATACAATTGATCTAGCAGAGAATTTAAATCAGCAGTCTATTGAAGAAGAAAGAAAAATCAGTTCCAGTAACCAGAGAATGAGATTATTGGGCACTTTGTTAAGAGAACCAAAGGTAGCTTTTTTTGTAAAATAGTTTGTATAGCTTTAGATTAAATCTGTTAACTTTCATTTTCATCCATTATTATTAAGCTTGCAAGTATTTGGGCACAGTTATTGGAACGAAGTTCCTAATCGCGCGTTACACGCTTTGGTCTTTGAGTGGATGAGGGCTAGACCGAAAAAAGTCTAAGGAAAGAAGACTTTTTTCCGACACTTCTTGCTATAGTAACAGTCGTGTCTCATAAATGCCTATGGAATAGGGATATCCAATAGTAATATCTGGAGCCACTTGAAAGAAATTAAACAATTGATATTCCTGAGCTTCAAGATTAATAAAAAAAAATTTTTTCCTATATACTATTCTACTGCACCAAACCATAGCGCGTTTCAGGTGGACCGTAGAGCCATGTGTTGCGCCTCGTTGTACGCCTCTTAGCCGTGTATGAACTATATACGTCACCGCACACAGCTCTCGTGCTCGCCGAAAGACTCGACAGCTCTCTTATCTTCGGGTTTTTTTAACTTTGATTTATTTTTATATAGTTAACTAGAGTGTATTGGCGTGAGAGGACTCGTACTTGATATATTTAAAAGTTACCTCAGTAATCGCACACAGCAAGTTCGCATAGGCAATCATATCAGTGATGAAGTGACTCTATCGTTCGGCGTGCCTCAGGGTAGTGTCCTCGGACCAACATTATTCCTAATATATGTTAATGATTTATGCAATCTAGCTCTCAATAATGTTAAAGTTTACGCTTATGCTGATGACACTGCCCTTCTCATAGAGGCACCAACATGGGAGGAAGCTCGACTCCTCGCTGAGACTACGTTAAGGATAGTGATGCAATGGTTCGATAAGAACTTATTGACAGTTAATGTTAGCAAAACGACTTTCATAGCTTTTGCTCCCAAAGCCTTGTCTCTGCCCCCGTCTACTTTGTCTATCCACGCCCACAATTGTAACCCAAATGACGATTTTTGCCGCTGCACTGAGCTAACGCAGTCTTCCTGTGTTAAATATCTTGGCGTTCTTATTGACTCTCTAATGACTTGGAATGACCAGGTTGAGGCGGCTATCGGTCGAATTAGAAAATTAATGTATATTTTCAAGACCCTTAGAAATATTGCTGATCAACAAACCCTGAAGATCGTATATTTCTCGCTGGCACAGTCTGTTCTGACTTATTGTTTATCAGCCTGGGGTGGGACAGGGAAAACTAGATTCCTCCGTTTGGAGAGAGCCCAAAGAGCCGTCCTTAAAGTTATGCTTTGCAAACCAATCCGTTTTGCCACTTCTGAATTGTATATAATAGCTAAAGTCTTAACGGTTAGACAATTGTTTGTCTTAAAAACGGTATTACGCAAACACCTTGAGCTACCTTTTGTTAAAAATGCTATAAAGCGACGGGCCGCATTTGCAATATGAAACCTACTCGTATTGCTCTTGTTAGAAATCATTATGTCTATCTCTCGGCTAAAATCTATAACAAATTGAATGCATTGATAAACATCCATCCTCTGTCTTACTGGCAATGTAAAAATAAAGTAACTAAGTTTTTGCAAAATCTCAATTATAAAGAGACTGAATCACTTGTTTACGATAACTAATGAACATAGTTAATTGTATATTTATAAGATAATATTGTGAATTATTATCTATAAGTTCTGTACGTACATAAAGCAGGTATATATTATACAGTGTAGTACTTACGCTACTATAAAACTTACCAACCTGATTGTTCTACCTTCATCTCCTAAGAATTCGTATAATTTATAAATATAAGCTTAAACTAAATTAATATTATTACAATAGTAACTAATTCTGTTAACACACCCTAATAATATATTTGTACTAACCTTAGAACATAACTCTCCTTATTGTCCCGAGGTGGGCGTAAATAGCTGCGACACAGTTTATACTAATGCAGCTACTTACGATCTAAATGTTTTTAATATGTATGTTATGATGTTCAATAAAAATCTTTAAATCTTTAAAAATAGTTATTAACAATGTTTATTTCTAAAATAAAAAAGTATTATGAATAAAATAAGATTTATACAGTTCTTAATTTTTTTATTTGTTATTAACTTAATCATCCCCAATCATTCAGTGTTTAATTTATCATTATTTATTTTATACATATGTAATAAATATATTTTAGTGTAAATTTTTCAATTAAACTTTATCAACTTGATATTTTATAATATAAATCATAATGACTGTATAGCAAACGTCTACCAAAAAGCGAAAGGAACTTCGTTCCGAACGGGGGTCCATAGGCCCCTCATTTTATGTTTTCATCAATGTTATCTACAATGAAGAAGACACAATAGATATTTATCAATAAAATAAGATTAGTTTCTACTTATGTTTATTTAGATTATATTTTAAGGAGAATTATGTATTATGAGGGAGTACACAGTTTATTTACTTTAGTCTCCTTTATATCAATTATATTCTTCCAACATCCAAGTACAAAGCTCTTAATTTTTTATTTATAATAAAAAAATGAACATCCATAATTCATTGAGTTTAAAATGTTTAAGTTATTTTATCAAAGTTAAAAGCATAGCCTGTGATGTTCCTCAATAATAATAACTATAAAATGAAAAAATATTGTTTTAAATCGAACCCGTAGTTCCAGAGATTAGCATGTGCAGCCAAACAAAGTCAAAGTATACATTAATACAAAATTTGTAGGTCTATCTAGCATCACGCTGTGCAGCGTTTACAAATGGAGCAATTAATACATAAATAAACTATGCGAGCAAAGTCTCGGGCAAAATCAAGTCAATAAATTTTAGCTTACTGCGGTCCTTCTCCATATAAACTTTAACTATGCCAAAGCCTATATTCGCCCACACGCGGAATAGTAAAAAAGCGGTTTAAAAAATGATACAAAATTTTCTTCTTCAAGATTTTATAATGTCTTGTTATATTACAGCCAAATCCACACATACCTGATTGGCCTTACGTTATTGGCTTAGCTGGAGGCATTGCTAGTGGGAAGAGTAATATTACTGAAAAATTAAAGTAAGTATGAATAATTTACATAATAAAAAATTGTCTCCAGTCGAACTTTCAGTTTTGTTGTTAAAAGGAAAGTTTTTGAGTAAACCTGTGTATTATTTTTTCATGCAGTAACAACTAGATGGATTTAAGTGAATTGTAGGATGAAAATAGGGTTATCCTGTATAATGTATTAATATATAGTCAATTTTTTAACTGTGTATAGAGTTATACATGCAAAATCTAGTCATTGGCCAAAACTAGTAGATAATAAATTTTATTGTATTTATTTGTTTCTGATTTTAATCGTACAACCAGAGCTCAATTCATTTCTTCTTTCAACAAATTAGAAATTATAGCGCGAAAAAGATAAGACAATAGACCACAAACAAAATATTATTTTTTTGTATTATAATTTTTTTATTTTATATTTAATAGATTAAAAGGTGCAGGGATAGTAAATTGTGATATCATAGCCCATGAGCTGTACAAACCGGGTCTACCCTTGAACCGGACCATTGCTGAAGAGTTTGGTCATGGCGTCATAACAGAAGGCGGGGAAGTGGACAGGAAGAAACTTGGAACCATCGTTTTTGGTGATAAGGTATAAATGCTTTGATTTCGAATAATATTACTGGCTTAAGACAAATATTTGGGTTATTATTATATATATATAACATTACCTTATGATTCCTTTAATCTGTATACAAATAAATGAAATTGAAGTGTCTGTTTGTAATGTTATTTTTTTTTCTTTTTATTACTAAATGCATATTTTAATTTTCTAATTATCAGAAAAACACATTTTTTAAAATTTGTGTTTATTTGTTCCGGCTACTCTCCGAAACGGCTGGATCGATTTTGACGGGACTTTCACTGCAAGATAGTCTTAAGACTTAAGATAGCTGATGTTATAAAGAGTAACATACAATTTTTATTTTAGAAAAAGTCTTAGAGGTCCGCGCAAAGAAAATAAAATCCATGAAAAATTGTGAACAAAATCCGCGTATAAATAATATTGACTCTTTCCTACGAATAAATAATAAGTCAGGAAATGTAACTGCGTTAAAAAAATGATCCAACAAAAATCGTGTTCAAGTAGGCGGGGCTTAAAAGTCGTGTTCACCGCCTCATCAGTCAGATATTGTTCTTGCAAGCGCGCGCATGCCAATTTATCGCGTACGTTTAAATTTTTATCATTGTGAACTACAGCTGTGAATCATAAGGCCAGTATGTGCTGTGAAGTGGTGTAGGAGCGATACAATATTAAAATATCCAGGAATCACTTTTCACTGGTAAGTTGTAGCAAAATTATAATATTCAAAGATATTCAAATGACAAATACGGTGTCAAACCTATGAAATTGACAATACATGAAAAATGAAGTCAATCAATTTTTGACCTAATTTAGACGGTATATTTTTTCTTCTTGATAAAATATTGAAATTTAAATTAAATAAATAAAAAATAAATTTGTTTTCTTTTAGTTTAACTCCACAATCCGTCTTCACTACATTGTAAAAAAAGATTCTCTTTTAATGTCTTCTAGACAAAAACTTAATAAATTAATTAAATTTTGCGGCACACAGAGTTCATTGAATTGTAAAAAGTAACCCAAAATACGCAATAAAAAACATTGTAGAATAATATTGTGTTTTTTAAATATTGTAAGAAAAATAAAAATATAATATTAAAGTAATACATTGTTATACATAATAAATTGTTTTATTATTGACTTGGTCCGGTCCACTTATTGTATAACATTGTCCACGCCGCTATGACTCAGCTGTCATAGTGGACATTGCAGTACGCGCGCAAACCAATCCCTTTTTTTTTAACGTTGGGAAATGCATTTACGCACGAGGTGTGGGACTCACCGGCAAAGCCAGTACTACCCACTAAAACCCAAGAAAGCCTTCCCCCGTCTTAATGGGGCGTCGCAGGATCACTTACGCATTCAACTACGACGCCCCGACGGCAGGTCTGCCGAAGCAGACCGCAACTACCACGGGGTTGCGCCAAGGTCCACTCTGCTATCAGAGAAGTACCAGGAGCAACCCGCATGCTACCCCGCCCTCCGAAGAGGGCCACCTCCCACCGCCCACTGAAGTGGGCCACCTCCCTGTGCATTTCTTGGCTTCGCGCCCGGCTGTATTGCCGGGCACTACTGAGCCCCCCCACCACGACAAGGTGAACTCACATTAGGGGGGCGCAAACCAATCCCTGCTTTTGTCCTGAATATAAACCAATCACCAAACATGTCTGTTTGTAACCTCAGAAGTGGTTCGTAGTTTGAATCATACGTCGTTTTTGTTTGAAGTAGGGCCATTTTTTGCGTGAGTTCTGAATTAGACTTCCTGACTTATTATTTATTCGTAGACTCTTTCCTATGTTTAAAGAATATCAATAATAAATAATGTATTGAAATGTAGAGAGAATGCATAGATTTGTAACTTCAATATTTACTTAGTAGTACTCCAGTAAATATGCGTTTTGTGGTCAATGAAATTATTGTTATGATGTGAAAAATAACAATTCTTCTTTTTTTTTCGGGTAGGTGTGCAAAAAGTAGTAACACATATTTTTGTTAGCTCCTTTTTACTTATTTAATTAAAATCATAATAACTCTTATCTAATTACAAGTTATGTGCTAAAAGTTAGAAACCTACCAGCCACAATTCCTTAAGTAATTTCCATAAGAGTACTTTGCCTCTACACCAAATAAATCCAGTATTTGTTGCACTACTACTTGGTTGTGACACTTTCATACAATGGATTCAATCAAGCAATCCCTTAATGACCTGGCACATCACTTTAACACCACAATGGCTGAGTTCCAGCAGAACTTGAATACTTCAATTCCAGCAACAAGTCCAACCTCAAACATAGCGGCGCAATTTAGTACATTTCGAACCTTTGTGCTCTCGGCGCTTGAAAATCTTCAGCAGCAAGTAAATCACCTCTCTAAACAACAAGATCATCTTGATATGAATACTAGAAAGAAAATCCTTTTAGTACATGGTGTTCCGGAAGCTAAAAATGAAGATGTGACTGCAGTAATGGTCAAACTTCTATCTGACCGCCTTGACTTGCCAGACCTTTCAATAGAGGATATCAGCCGTTGTCATCGCATAGGAAGCTCCAAAGTAGACAAACATCGCGTAGTCCTTATCAAATTTAAGCGGTTGTTGATCAGGAATCAGGTTTGGTATGCTAAGACCAAACTTAAAAATACAGGTACAACCATATCCGAATTTCTCACTAAAACCAGACATGACGCCTTCATGGCTGCTAGGCAGCGCTTTGGTGTCTCCAAATGCTGGACAAGGGAAGGAGTCGTATTTGTTATTACGCCCAGTGGAACTCGACATCGCATTAGTTCGCGTTCGGAGCTCGACAATATTCCCGGACCAACTGACGTCCATGTGCCAGCTGCTAATACTGGTGCCGCGTCTACTCTCACATCTTCAAAAGCAAGAGCAGCTGCACCAACGCAAGTGAACCGGGCCAGGCGCAACATCAAGAAGTGATAATGATGTTTTGTTGTATGTTACGGGTAAATCACATTTATACTAGTTGTTTCTATATAATCCCTGTTTCGCATTCTAACTTTACTATTTGTACGAATAATCTTGTTTCAATATGGAATACCCGCAATTATTTACTCGGTTTGTTGTGTATACCGTAAATTTTTAGTTCTTACAATTTTGAAATAACTTAATAACACTGTCACAGACCACAGCCTAACTGACAGCTGACAGCGTCATAATACGTTCCGTTCTAAAATCTAAATTTAGCATATCAAATGCCCTTTACAAAGATTAAAAATGTTAGCCTAAATATTAAATCTTTTTTATAATTTACTAATGTATGATATACAGATATCTTTCTTCTTTTTTTTTTGTTAAGTTAATTCGAGACCAAACTCTTGCATTTTTTATATTTGTTAATTACTTTCCCGTTAATCCACACAAAATGTTGCTTAGCTTTCGCTACGACACTGTTTACATTTTGTTGCGTTCAGGTTTTTTTTTTGTACTATTTTTTTTCTATGTTAGTTTTATTAAAATACCTTACTTGTAATTAAGGTATTTCTCACTATTATTGTGTATAGGCAATTTGTATAAGGGTATGGCTGGTGGGTTAGCAAATGACACAGTTTTATTTTACTATCTTATTTTATTTATTATTATTATTATTAATATTCTATATTTTTTATATTTTATTTAGTATATATTTTATTATTATTTTATAGCATTATATCAGTATGACGAATAGTGAAAATGATAGCACTACAGACGACGACATTTATCTTCCTTGTCATTCCTCATCATCCGACGACGCCAGTTTCCTCAGTTCTTCCATTCCTCTCAATGAAACCTTACACTCCACTTTTTCTCATTATTCAAAGAGCTTCAATGTTGCCCATATTAATGCGCAGAGTATCCCCGCACACTACCCGGACCTATTAAGTACGTTTGACGTTAAAGACTTACATGCGATCTTAGTCTCGGAAAGTTTCCTTAAACCTTGTCTTCCTTCTACTTCGTACGCCTTGCCGGGTTTTCATCTGATTAGAAACGATAGAACTGACAAAGGTGGTGGAGGGGTAGCTATTTACTTACGTTCACACATTCCTTTTAATATTTTAAGTAAATCTCCCTCTCAATACACTGAGTCAGCTGAATATATTATAATTGAGGTCCTTTTCGGTTGCCTGAAACTTCTGTTGGGAGTCTTCTATAGTCCATCAATGCGCGTTGACTACTTTGATGAATTTGAGGTCTTAATGGAGAGACTTATCCCAGACGCTGATCACTCTATAATCATGGGGGATTTTAATACCTGTTTGATTAAAGATGACTTACGAGCAAAGCGGTTGAACAGCATCATCAATGGCGCTAATCTTAATATTGTCAACTCTAATAGTGCGACTCATTTTTTTCCTGATTGCACTCCTTCGTTGCTGGATCTGATGATTGTCTCTTCACTTGATCTCGTCAATGTGCATGGACAGCTCTCAGCTGATGCGTTCTCATACCACGACCTAATTTATCTGTCCTATAAAATACGTCCACCCAAAGCCAAACCTACGGTGGTTATGCGACGCAGCTTTAAGCACTTTAATAACGACAGCTTTATGAATGATCTCAGTTTGATTGACTGGAATTCTGTTTTAAACGCCTCGTCCACAGATGATAAGCTGAATATTTTTAATTCCATACTGACGGAGTTGTTTGATATTCATGCTCCACTTAGACCAATTAAAATCAAACATCTTCCGGCACCTTGGTTGACACAGGAAATTAGAGTGCTAATGGTCAAACGTAATAGGGCTAAGTCCAAATATAAAATTAACCCCACAGCCGATAATCTGCTTAAATTTAAGCATTTGCGTAACAAATGCAATAGATTCTGCCGAGATGCTCAACGCGAATATGTTCATGCTTCAGTGGAAAATAAAGACTCTGCCAGAGTATGGAAATTTTTAGATGCTATGGGTATTGGTAAGGATCGTAAAGCCTCACTCTTCACTGGTAATATTGACTTGGAAGCTCTTAATACACATTTTGCTACAGTTCCTTTAATAGAACATACTATAAAGGCTAACACTCTTTATTCCCTTGCTCTTGGTTCTAAGCCTAACACTACGCTTTTTAATTTTTCACCTATTTCTCCTAAGGAAGTTAAGATGCATATAATGGCTATAAAATCTGATGCCATTGGTAGCGATGGAGTAAGTCGAAAGATGATTCTCTTAGCTCTCAATCATATACTTACAGTTCTCTGCCATATCTTTAATCATTCTCTCTCTTCAAGTACCTTTCCTAGCTGCTGGCGTTCAGCTTACGTTATTCCTATTCCTAAAATTTCCAATCCTTCATCGTTTTGTCACTATAGACCAATTTCTATACTTCCTTTTCTTTCTAAGGTGCTTGAACGTGTAGTTCACAGCCAACTGTCATTACATCTTTCAAAGCATAATTTGCTCAGTCCCTACCAATCTGGATTTCGACCTGGACATAGCACGACCACTGCTCTGATTAAAATCTGCGATGACATAAGGAATGGGATTGACAATCAGCAAGTTAGCATAACTGCTTTATTAGACTTCTCAAATGCTTTTAATACTGTAGACTTCGACATCCTCTTAGCAATCCTTGAGTCAATGAATATTTCATTGGGTGCTGTTGACTGGTTCCGTTCATATCTCTTTGATCGCAAGCAATGCATTCGTGTCGAGGACAAGCACTCATCTTTCTGTTACCTTAAAGCGGGTGTCCCTCAAGGCGGTGTCCTTTCTCCTCTCCTTTTTTCTATCTTCATCAACTCCATAACTGAGCTTCTCTCCTTACCTTTTCACCTTTATGCTGATGACCTGCAAATTTATGTAACAACACCCATAGATGGTCTTCACGATGCCATAGCCAACCTCAATACTAATCTCAATACTGTAAGTACATGGAGTAAATCGTTTGGGTTATTTCTAAACGCGAGTAAGTCGCAGGTATCCCTATTTGGTTCTCGTCAGCTAGTATCCAAAATTAATATGTCATCCCTTTCACCTATTTTATTCGACGGGACTAGACTGCAAATTCGCAGCTCGGTTAAAAATTTAGGCCTTATAATGGACAATTCCTTATCTTGGGTGCCTCAGATTTCGGAGGTAAGCAGAAAGTTTTTCGCTGTAATTGGTCGGTTGAGGAGGTGGAAGAAATTTTTGCCAATAAAAACTAAAGTATCCCTAGCACAATCCCTTCTCCTTCCTATACTTGATTATGCCGATACATGCTATCCCGACTTGTCGCAGATTCAACTCAATAAACTGGAACGTTTGCAAAATATGGCAATCCGATTTATCTATGGCTTAAGAAAATTTGACCACATTTCTCAATATCGAGCTCAACTTAAATGGCTCACCGTTAAGCAGCGACGGAACTTGCATATCCTTACTCTCCTATACACTATCCTCTTTCACTCCCACACTCCTCCTTATCTTAAAACAAGGTTCAATTTCCTTGGTTCTATCCATTCCCTAAACCTTCGCTCGCAAACCGACAACAAATTAGCATTGCCCGTCAGTCGCACCCAAAGCTATGGCGACTCGTATACAGTAAAAGCTGCAATATTATGGAATGCCTTACCACAGGACATTCGCCAGTCGGAATCGGTGCAAGTATTCAAACGTCGTCTTAAACACTACTATTTGTCGCTATAAGTCTATGTATATTTATGTAAGCCCTGTTTATGTAAGTTTATTGTAGAATATATATGTTTATTGTTTATACTTATATATTATAATATATATTTATGTATGTCCTTATCGATATTTATGTAAGCTTGTGTGTACTTTATAGTATGTACCGTTTAAGTAAGTTTATTATAGACTAGTTCTTTTTTTTTTTTTGCACCAACCATAATCCATGTCACCCTATGAGTTTCTTTATAATATAGGTTGCCTGGAAGAGATCACTTTAGTGATAAGGCCGCCTTTACACTAATATTAGTTAAGTTATATATTCTTGTATATTGTATTTTTATTTTTGGTGTAATAAAGGATTAATAAATAAAAAGGATTAATAAATTCTTCATTTTCCCAATAATTCACATAATAATTCCCAAAATTTCGGCACTGTTGCAAACACCACGTTAGACGGGTGAACCTACGAATATGTGGTAAATATCTTGCATATTTACTTACACTTATTTTAATCAAATTATTTATTTCCATGACACAGGTAAAATATACAACAGTAATAAACAAAAATAATGTCATTTGCTGTATCATTGCTAAAAAAAGCATATAAAATACAATCTATTTTGAATTTATATTCACATCATAGAGATCAACTCCAGAAACTATACTTTGTCTGCTGATTATAAAATTATCATATAATAACGTTTGGCTCACTTTGTACTGACCCTACTTGCTGCGCCAGCGGTCGCGGGTTCGAGTCCTGCTCGGGGCATTCACTTGTGTGATAAGCACGGATGCTTGTGCTCCAATCATGGGTGTTTATATTTATAATATGTATGTATTTAAAGTTATATATGTGTAGTGTATCAACTATCTGGTATCTATAACACAAGCCTCGTAGCTTACTATGGAACTAGATGGTGCTGTATTAAGTTCCCAACATATTTATTTTATTATTAAATAACATTTCAATAGAACCAGTTAAAGAAACTCAACCAGATAGTATGGCCGGCGGTGATAGAGGAAGCCCAGAGGCAGGTGAAGGCATTCGGTGAGCAGGGTTACAGGGTGGTGGTGATGGAGGCGGCGGTGATGGTGCGGGCCAAGTGGTACACCAGCTGCCACGAGCTGTGGACGGTCATTATACCACCTAAGGAGGTAGGTTCATATCAGACCACTATTATATATGCGAAAGTTTGTATTTGTGTATACACATATGCAAACACACACCTTTGTCACATCTTTACGATTATACGGCTGGATTAAGTACATCAATAGTGAGCCTGGAGAAACACTACGGCTACTTTTAAACGCCTAGGATCATCAAACAGGAAGCGAAAGTCAATTCGTCTGTTTTTTGTGCCTATGTTACTCAATATTTTCGCCTGATAATGGATATTCGTAGTACTATTATATGTATTCAGCCCTTTTTGAGGTCCCACTGCTGGGCACGGGCCTCCCTTCAATACGAGGGGGATCAGGCCATAGTCCACCACGCTGACCAAGTGCGGGTTGGCGGACTTCACATGTCTTTCGAAAACTTGCTAAGTTCTCTCAGACATACAGGTTTCCTCACGATGTTTTCCTTCACCGTAAGGCAAGTGGTAATCATGTGAGAAATGATTCGCACATGAAAATATCACAGGTGCGAGACCCAGGATTTGAACCCGCTTCACTCGGTTTCCCAAGCGAGCGCGTTACCACGGGGCTACCACTGCCTGTTGCTATGTACTATTATATATATATATATATATATATATATATATATATATATATATATATATATATATATATATATATATATATGTGTGTGTGTAATTTTATTTTTCTTTATATTACCTACACACAATTAAGTGTTTGCTCCCTTGGTCCACTCTGCTGACAGAGAAGTGCCAAGATCACATTGGTACACCGGTCACCGAAGTGGGCGAGCAAAAACCTCTATTAATGTTAAAGTTAGTATAACTAAAATGTATTCAACAGGCCATCAAAAGGTTACAAGAACGCAACAACCTTACTGAAGAAGAGGCCAGGCAACGTATCGAAGCGCAACCCACGAACCAGGAACAGGTCGCGCTCGCCAACATAGTGTTCAGTCCGTTCTGGAGCTACGAATACACACAGCGACAAATAGACCGCGCCTGGGACCAACTACAGCGATATCTAGACACGAGGAAATAGCTATTGTTTATTGTGTTACGACCTTTTTGACCGACTTAGAGAAAAGAGGTACTCGATTTTGGTATAATAGTTAATACATATATTTTATGTTGTACCCATTTTTTTCGATGATTGTAAACTACATGCTATAATTAGTTCTTTTGTCTTAGACATATATTTTGTAAGAAACAATTCACTTTTAAGGGTGAAAAGGGGTAAGAGGTGTTTGTTTGTCTGTTACCATTTTTCTCGGAAACGGTTAGGTTGATTTTGAAACGGTATTTTGCTTTGTATAATTTAAATTAGAATGTGATGTACCTTTTTTATTAAATACTAGCGGCTCACCCTCGCTTCGCTCGGGTTCACCTCTAGAAAAACACTAATATAAATCTATTAGTTCCCACGGGAACCGTTCATTTTTCCCGGATGAAAAGTAACCTGTTGTTTGACCGGCAATATAAGGTATCAGATAAGAAGAAATTTTACTAAATTAGGTGCATAAGTTGTATAAGTTATAATAGTTTTTTAACTATCCCACGGGAACTATTTAATTTTCCGGGATAAAAAATATCTAAGACGTTGTCCGGGGATATAAAGGGAAAGTTTCATTTAAATCAGTCCAATAGATTCGGAGATTAGCCCGTACAAACAAACAGACAAACAGACAGAGAAAAAAAATTGAAAAAAATCTGAATTTGTTCTATTTGTCTTCTTACATCCCCCTGACTCGCGATGGCTTATTATTAGCGTATTTCATGTATAACTTTGGTGTTTCTATACCGATTTCTATGATTCTTTTTCATGGAATAGTTTATAATGTTATCTTTTTTAATTAGGGATGACTGAGAGTGTTATAAACGTAAGAGTAGACAAATATAAATCAGAAAGCTTCGAACTGCTAAGTTATCGGGAGTTACACGTGTTATTGTGAGTCAACCATAAAAGATAGACATATGCTGTCGTGGGATATTTTTTATATAATTTTAAGGAGAACATTTCCGTCATACATGATTTCTGTGTAGCTTTAACCATTAAGGTTGCACACGCGACGGAAGCTTAAAAAATGGAGTAACTTCTCTCGTTTTCCCAACATTTCCCTTCACTGCTCTGCTCCTATTGATTGTAGCGTGATGAAAAGTATACCTTAACCAGCTCAGGAGTATGATAAATAATTGTACCAAGTTTCGTTAAAATCCCCCCACCACAAGGTGAACGCACGTTGGGAGGGATGTTATGTAGGTACCTACTATGTCTTTATTCACATGATTCATGGAACAATAATTAAGAAAATCTAGAAAAGGCTTTAACACGATTTAATTTTTGTTAATATATTTTTCCTACAAGTTACAAGCCATAAAATAAAAGTATTTCCGAAATTTTATCAACATCTCCATTGTTTTAAAGTTCAGTACATAATAACAATTTTAATAATTATATGCACGTCTTATATTTATTTCAACTTTTTTGTTCGAATCTTTATCGACGAAACATTATTTTCTTTTTTTGTTTTATCGGCTTCAAACATTTGTCGCAGCGTATGTCATTTGTTACAATAAAAAATTACCCAACTACAATATAGTTTCATCGACTGTAAACATAAAATTATATATCATAATATTTCTTTGAAAATTAATTTTGTAGTTTAACCGAAAATATATCAAACCGATCTTCATCTTCGCTTTATTAAGTTATTTTAGACATATTAGAAAATAATAAAAATTATGTAAGTTTTTTAGTAAAATAGACCAACCTTAATATCCTTGACAAATGACAATATAATAGCATTGTAGGAATTATCTAAAACGATGACAATTACATTTTCAACCTTATTTATATAATTACCTTATATATAACCTTATAAATATTATTTACGATGATATGATGTAAATTGGTATTAAAAAAATAATGCTTATTATATGTACTACTAGCGACTCACCCTTGCTCGTCCCTAGTGAAAATTTAGGTTTGTATATATTTTTTAATGCCGAATCAAAAGAAATTTAAATAATTTTTTTTGTTCAAAATATTTAAAATTATTTTATGGAGTGGACCAACCACCCTTATCACTTAGGGGTATGAAAAATAGTTTATGTCCTATTGTCAGACCTACTGAATATACCCACAAAATTTCATAAGAATCGGTCAAGCCGTTTCGGAGGAGTTTTGTTACAAACTCTGTGACACGAGAATTTTATATATGTACTAGCGACTCACCCTCGCTCCGCTCGGGTTCGTCCCTAACGTGGGCCACCCTTATCACTTAGGGGTATGGAAAATAGATAGTAGCCGATTCTCAGACCTACTGAATACGCATATAAAATTTGGTAAAAATCGGTAAAACCGTTTCGGAGAAGTACGGTAACTAACGTTGTGACATGGAAATTTTATATATTAGATTAGATAACGCTCTCTTTAGACAAAAAAATATGCGAGAAGCTCTCCATATCGATTCTTAATTGAATAAAATGCATAGAGCGTTCTCTTCTCTGTACAAATTGACTAGCTTCTACGAATGTTATCTAAGATAATAGAATAAGAATCAAGATACTTTATCATTTTGTTGGGTAGTGGTTCTATAAATATTAATATATAATATTTAAAATCAATAAAAACTGTTATCTAAAAATGACTTTTTTTCCAAATTCAATATCCACCATTTAGGATCATACTCAATAACTACCTGATTATATTTTATTTTTAATATCCCAAAACGGCAGTTAGTACAGATTACACTCGTTATTATTATCGTAAAATCATATAATGGCATTGCCAATGATTACTCAGCAATCAAATAAAAGCAAGAGCGTAAACTAGGGTAGTATTATTCAAGCAAATACTCGGTCGGAGCATTCTCGGATCTAAAATGAATATATTTATTAAAATTATTTTGCTCTCGAATATAGTACAACTAATTTTTGGTCAATTAAATGTATTTGATGTAGAAAATAGGGATATGGAGAACCAAAGAACTCGTTTGATTGTAAGTCTAGACTCTAGCGCAACAAAAATAAAAGACTTATTAGGAAATTTTAAACTTCAAAAAGTCACTTATCTGAAGTAACTGAAGTATAAGAAAAGACAAATGAAAATAACATACACATAAGATATTTATCCGTGCAGGATTGTAATAGGATGTGTAAAATATAAACAGCTATAAAAAAATAAATTGCGTTTATTTCTTGCAGGCTGAAATAATTCTAAACAATTTAAAAACCAACGGATGGGATAATATTTTCTTCGTCGGAAATCTACCAGACTCTTTATACATTAGCCTTAGACATTTGCCTTTTACTTTTTCCGTTACTGGGATTTCTGAAGATGATGAGCAAATTGAAAATGTTGTTCCATACCATTCCAATATAATTATTTTTAACTGTCGTAAGTTTGAAGAATTCGAAGACGCTGTACGAAAAATTGTAACTCTACCTTATTGGCATGCATTAGGTAATATTATTTTATATTATCACGTTCCATACGAAAAGGACGAAGTTGCAAAAATATTTTTTACCTTTTGGTTTTATAGAGCCATTAATGTTATCATCGTTCAATATAATAATACTCCGGAAGAGATATTAATATCGCACTTTAGTCCTTACATGAGCGAAGATTACAAACTGGATAATTTGTTTGGTTGTTGGACGGCCCGCAAAATTGGTATGCCAATAGAAAACTTTAATGACAGTTTCGTTTGTGTTAGAGAATGCCACAACGTGTCTTTACATTCTAAATTACGGGCAAACTTTCTAGGAACCTGCATAGGCTTTAATACTGAGACGGTACTTTTAAGCAATTCGAGTAATATAAAAGATATGACATTATTTGAAGATAAAGCTAAAGATTTACACGGATATACTTTTTTAGCATATGTCTTTGAAGTTCTACCATTTTTAGAGATAAAGATTCATGATAATGGAACATACACGTTGCTTCATAGAGATGGAATGATCTGGAATACTATGGCAGAATTGTTTAATTTTAAAATAGATTTGTTTCCTTCGAAGAAGACAATGAAAAAGAATGATTTTGAAGTTAATATCCAAAATGTATTTTCTTTTACAATTAGACAAGCGGACTTAATTTTATTTCCAGTGTATCAATTTGATTTAGTTATAGTGGAAATAGACTATACAGTTCCTTTTGTCGACAGCGGGGTATGTGTGATGTCACACAAGGCCGATTATGAAACTATAATTTTTAATGAAAAATTGATACAACGAAATATATTAGTAGTAAACGAGTTTCTCGCGTGCTTTTTATGCACTTGGTTTGTATTTTTCATCTTTAATACAGAGCGACTTGGAAGATTTAGCCTAGATCAGCTCGGAAAGGATTTAATAAACACATTTAGAATGGTATTGTCAATTAGTTTGAATAATCCACCTAGGAGGGCATCCTTTCGTTTATTTTTTACGATTGCTTTATGGTGCTTTTTTATAATAAATTTTAGCTCACAAGCATCTATAATTTCTTTGTTTTCTGTACATAAACGAGGAAAAGAAGTTAACACTTTTGAAGATATAATAGAAAAGGGATATATAATAGAAGGAATGGCTTCACCAGATGCAGTTCTTCCAGATGATGAAGAAAGATTTCGAATATTTACTTCTAGGATGAGGGTGGTTCACGATTTTCTTGAGTGTGTGAACAACATGGCCAATGATAGTCGGCGCTTTTGCTTAATAGATTGTGCAGTCGGTCGCTATCTAACAAGGAATTTATTAAATCGTAAAGGCGAACAATTTCTTCACGTTGCAACTGATGCTAGAGTTCATAGTCACTATTTAATGATGATACTCCATAAACACAGTCCATTGACGGAGCGTTACAATCGTTATATGATGGCATTGTTTGAAGCAGGTATTATAAGGAAATGGATGGATTACAGGTATTTTGACTTGAACGAAGAGGCTCCTTTAAAACCCTTAAGTATGGAAGACCTAGGAGGAATATTTGAACTCTATTGCATTTTAGTAGGTATAAGTTCTGCTGTTTTTTTGCTAGAAAATTTTCTAAAATTTGTGTCTTGGATTATGCAAAAATATAAATCAAAATAAAATGCCTTTCGCTAGTAAGAATAATTTGAGAACGATCGGACCGATTTGGCTTTTTTTAATATAGATTCAAATTTCAAAGATCGCAAATAAAATTGAGACACGTCTATTATTTTCAAATATAAAAGAAATATTATAAAAACATATTTGAAAATATATATATATATATATATATATATATATATATATATAAAATATTTTTACCCATTTAACATGTTTTCCCAAATAAATTTTATTAGGTATATTTTTTTTACTCTTTACACAAACTGATTTAAAAAAAATAGACATGTCTACTTACAAGTCACAAATACTGCATCAGTGTTTCACTTTAACAAATTATGTTAGCTTTTAGTATTTTTGTTTATTGTAGTTTTTGCGATAATTCCTTATAATAAAATTAGGTACCTACGTTATAACGTCGACTTATCGTAAATACCAAGCTACTAACTCGTCTGCACTTTATGTAAGTAACTAGAAAGTAAGTAACACGTACTTATTTGAATGTTAAAATTTAATAAACTTAAATTATCTAATACGAATTATATGACACCTGTCGTTAATTATATTGTGCCATATATTATAAACGCACGCGTAACGTGTAGCGACTTATCATAACTCGAGCAAAATAGAGAATATGCATGATTTCTTTTTTAATTTTTTATTCAATAATTTACATCGAGAAAACAACACAAAAAATGGCACAATGACACAAAAAACAAGACAAAAAATGGCCAGCTCTAAAAGACTAAAATATACTTTTTTTTTTTCAAAGTATCGTACCTTTACGAATAGTTTAAACCCTCGCCATTTATAGTCGCCAATCGTCATAGTATGCTATACACACAAATTATTGACGATTCAATATGTAAGCAACAAAATCGCTAATCGCTCTGATAAGTTATACTTAGACAATAATATATTCGGTCTGACCAATGGCGTGCGTTTCAACTACTTTGAATTTCCCGTCTGTTTGGCACTTTTTAATAATTATTTTCTTAATCAAAAAGAAATTAAATTAAAAATATTTATATAGGCTTAATTCAAAAGCAATAAAGATTATAAAAAAACGTGTGTGTGTGTACTTACCTACATATGTATGCACGTAAGAAGTAATACTTTTTTGGCGTAACAGAACAAAAATAGCTAAAGATTTCATCCCGTATGTCACAACTAAGTCATATTAGTCATATTTCAATCATATATTTTTAGAATACTCGCGGCTCACCCTCACTTCGCTCGGGTTTGTCGCTAGGTACGTTTTAAGTAGATATAAATAGGTAGTAGCCAGCGTTAGCCATATAAATTTTTTTTTGTTAATAATATTGACAAATATTGACATTAATATTTATACGATTCTAACGTCACTCAATTGCCATCATGTTTTGCCTTCCCGGAACCTCTCCACTAACACTTAAACTTTATGTTAAGGTATTAAAGTTTAAATTGACTTTTTAAGTATTATTACGAATCTTTTGTATGGGAGTATAGAAAAGTGTTGTTTTCAGACTTTTTCAGGCAATTATTTAAGTTGTTGTGTACTAAGCTGTATAAGTTACTAAAGTTTTTTTAACTATCCTATGGGAACTTTAATTTTCCCGAATGAAAAGTATCTAAATTGTTGACCGGGGATATAAGGTACCACCATGTAAAATTTCATTTAAATTGGTCCAATAGTGTCGGAGATTAGCCCGTACAAACAGACAAACAGAAAAAGAAACAAAAAAAATGAAAAAACCTGGATTTGTTCTATTTTTCTTCTTACATCCCCCTGACTCGGTTTTTAGCATTTTTTTTCTATGTACTGACGTGCGATCTCTACAGTTTTATTATAATATAGATATATCAGTACCCGGTTCTTCGGAGTTTGGAGTTCTTTTTTGTTATATCGTATTTTTTAGATAAAAAAATAAAAACTTGAATAAATACAAAAAAAAACAAAAGAAAACCTTTGTATCCGACCGGGATTCGAACCCGAACACCTGTGATTATCAATCTTGAGTCTTGGCCACTTGACCAAGATGCTTATGCCCAAGCGCGCGAAATTAGCGTCTATATTTTGCGTGGAATAATGCGAAAAAAACCGCATGAAAACTCGAAAACACGATTTTTCCCAGGCATAAGACGGGCACTTCCAGGCATTTTCGGGGCGAAAATCGATTTTTCGCCCCGAAAAACCCCACACCAAATTTCAGAGTTAGACCCGTTTCAGAGATCACCGGTCTATATAAATAAATAAATAAATAAATAAATATACTAATATATAAATAAAGAATTGTTCGTTCAAAAGTATTAGATTAGATTAATTGTCAGACTATAACAACAGTTACCATGGCAACAAACAGTTATCAGCTAATTTCATCATCAGGGAATGAAGTGATCGCCGCCAAGCTACTTAACTTTTCTTAACTTTATAAAAAAGATAACGAAAGTCCAGCTGAGTTTCTTTTGCCTGTTCTTCTCAGGTCTGAGGCTTCTTCTTTCCGAACTGGTAGCTAGACTCATGACGTTCAGTAAAAATTCTCATAATTTAATGCTGAATAAAATATTTGGAATTTGAATTTCAATTTATCGCTTATTGGCTGTCGGTGTGCGCGCACAACGTAAAAATTTTACTCTCATATTTTTTTCGAAACGCCCCAAATGAAGTACAACTTCAAAAATATTACACCTTAATTTAAATCACACGCATCTTCCATATTACTGGCGTATCGGATTGTATTCTTTCGTTAAAATGTACGTATTCCTATGACTGTACATGATGACTCTCAAGATTCGTCTCGAGACTACAGGTTTAGACTAGTAACAGACTCCGACTAACTGCCTCGGTGGTGTAGGGGCTAGCATGTTCGGCTGCACACTCGGAGGTCCTGGGTTCAAGTCCCGGGTCGGGCCAAGTTTAGTTATTGAGTCTTTCTGTATAGTGAGTCTCAGTAACAGCCCGGAGTTAGGAAGTTGGCGGTGTTTCACCCCCGTGCCTCGGAGAGCACGTAAAGCCGTCGGTCTTGCGCCTTAACTCTCACTGGTCGTGTCGAGAACAGGAATAGAGAGTGCACTTGTGTCTGCACGTACACTTAAGCACTATAATATCTCCTGCTCAGTTGGCTAGTCTCAATGAGATCTGCCGTAGCCGGAATCGGCTAGGAGAACATCATCAGACTCCGACTGCACAATGTCTTCACAACTATACATGGTCCTTCATCAACTTGTTCCGATCTTTTAAGCATAGTTTAGTTTTACGCAATTGGGTTTTCATTGTTTTGTAAAAAAAAAATATAGGTATATGGATTATGGAATCTGCTCTCCACAATTAGGGAATCCGGAATAGGTGCTTTAATATTACAGACGTGCACTTTTCACTTCTATTTTATTAATATTTTGTGTATGTATTAGTGATTATATTTTCATGAAAATTTAAATAAATGTTTGTAGCAACTTAAAGATGTGCTTTAATTTCTATAATATCATAATATTATTTTTGATTGTATTTTAATTAAACATTAAAAGAATAAACTGGCACAGAATAAGAAAGATCGTTTCTTGGTTCATTTTTGGACATTAATATTTAAGACATTTAGAGTGCTAATAATCATTAATATAAAAAAATCATGAAGATCTATTCTCAATTGTTGAAGATATCATAAACTATATACGTATTATATCAGTAGCAAAACCCGCGGCTTCGCTCGTGCTAAAACTACGAAAAAACTTTGAAAAAGTATAGATTTCATACAATCTTTCATCCGTATTGAAATTTGGTATTAATGCTCTTTGATACAATTAAATGAATACGTGCTTTAGTATTTTTCGAAATTTAATCCCATAAGAGGCTAAAATGGGAGATGAAAGTTTGTATAGAACTCTGTAATTAATATGTAGAAAAGTACCAAAAAAAACAACTATAGACGATTTAAGACTTAAAATTATATTCTGTAAAATGATATCCACATAGCCTTAAATATAAAGATTGTGATTTCGACAACTTTGTTAGTCTTCTTGTTGCTTTAGCCCACAAGTTCTTCAGTTTTTGTCTTTTGGGAACAAATGATATCCACGATAATATAGTGAGGATCATAGTGACCGCGACATCTGGCAGGAGAAAAAGGCAAAATACTTCCCCATCCCAATATAATAATTATGTCGATTTATTATTGTTGATGGTGAAAACTGTATTAAATAAATATAATTGGGCATGTAAAGTAATAATACGCTAGTTAATAAAAAGACGTGTGTGTGTTACAATACACTTCTTTGGCGTAACAGAACAAAAATAGCTATAGATTTCATCCCGTATGTCACAACTCTCTGCTTGTAAAAGAAATGATAAATTTATAAAAATTAATATAATTATTTTATCTCCACTGATATAAAACACGTATGATTTATGAATATTTGAGAAACTATTTTGAATATAGTTACCTTAGAGTATACATATGCTTATGTATACTCTAAGATAGTGACGAGTTTTCACGGGAACTGGAGAGACAGTTATCAGCTAGCTTCATCATGTCGCTTTTTGGCTGTCGGTGTGCGTGCGTATCGTAAAAATTTTACTCTCATAATTTTTCCAAACGTCCCAAAAGAAGTATGACTTCCTTATCAGTATTCAAGAACAAAGAAAAATTGATTTAAATACATATTCGACGGCAGTAAATGTCATCAATTTTTTATTGAAGTTGTGTAAATTAACAAAAGCTTAAAATCGAATTGAATGGAAATGAAATAATACACCATTAAATTTTACTAATTACTTTTAAGTTTACCTAATTTTACTATTACTAATTTTACTATTACAGTTTACGTTTAAGTTTGTAAAATAATGTATCCTAATTTATTATTTACTGATTCTAGAGTACTCAATTCTTATTAAAAATGTGCGTAAGGAGCTTTATTTTCATTTTACAATCAGTTTTATATCTTTACTTATATTTAATCTGTATAACTATAACGAAATTTGTTTATGGGAAAGAAGGTTGTGTAGAAAAGTATTGGTCGGAATTTAAACATTGAAATTTGTTTTTAATTATAATTACTACAACCATTGCTTAAGCTTAGTTTAATGGGAAATTTCCATAATAAAAGTAGTGAATGTAGAAATCAAAGGAAAATAGTGCATACAGCTCGCGACAGTCAAGCATTTACGAGTCAGGTAAGTAGTTTTGCGATCAAATGAAAACTCGCAAATGTCACTCTCAGCTGAACATACGTAACAATCAAATGCTTTGTTACTTTATATATGTAGCAATATACTCTATGTTTGTTACTCACGAAATAACTGTCTCATGTTGATTACTTGCACTTTATATTTTTGAACGGTATTATTATTTAGTCGAAAGATTATTGTTAAACAAGTAATTGCTGTCAAATTTATCAGGCTTTTGCTAAAAAGATACATTAGATTGTTTGTTTTTGTGTGTAGTTCAGTCTATCTCATTTCGTCGGCAACCTCAGCGGGCGCTCCTTCGTCAGTGTAACAAGCAGTCAGTCAGTATACAGCGCATCACGGCCTTGGTCTCGGGTTTCTAGACGAAGGTTAGTTCGAGATTCAAAATATAGTTTTGTGTAATATCGGGTTTGTTTATATTTTAATCGGTACTTCCTTTGAGATTATTTTGATATCTCGCGGTTAATTTCTAAGAAATCAATTGTTAACCGAGCCACCTGTGGCTCGGCAGTCGCTGACAGGTTACATCATTGAAAGTTATTGTAAATTGAGTTTAAAAATAATTACATATATTATAAAAAGGTTATTAAATTTTATGTATAACATTTTATTTGAGATTGCATCATATGGAATTGTCAATATACACCGAAGTACTGTTAAAATTATAATTTATAAGGTGGATTTTTTTAACACCTCATGGTTAATTTCTAAGAAATTAATTGTTAACCGAGCCATTTTATTGCTCGGAGGTCATTGAATGTTAAGGATGAACCCTAAGTGAACCGAGTGTGAATCACTAGTTAGTGATAATTTTTGATTTTCCTGATCTAAAGCCATAATAGTATCTTTTAGTCATATTTTTTATTGCTTTACTCCATGTGAAGTATGAATTTAAAAGATACACTAATAACAAACAATATTTTCTGTCAATCTAAATATCAAGGTTGTAATAATATCCAATGTTTTCAATAAATAAGTATAGATGAAATGTCAAAGAAAAGTAGATACAAGGCTAATTAAACATAAAAATAGGTTAAAACAATATGATATAACTTATTTCAGATGGAATGATTCAACATTAAAGAATCCACTGGAAGCAAGTAAAACAGCTTGGCCAGTAGCACATAAAGAATCTATATTTCTGCCTGAATTTCCCATAACAACTGACTTAATACAGAAAGATTTTGGAATAGTCAAAACCATTGCCAAAGGAGCTTTCGGGGAAGTATACAAAGTACAAAAGCTTAGAGAAAATAAAGAATATGCACTAAAAGTTTTGAACAAGTCACAGGTTAGTATATATTATTATCATATTGTTTATAAGCATAATAACTTTGTTTATTTTTTTGGATCTATTGTTAAATACTTAGCAACTAGAACAGGTAGAGAAATTTGACCATTAGAAGTTATTTTGTAATTGTAGTAATAACTTATAATAAATATACCTAAATTGAGAAACAATGATCTTAAAAAAACAGTTGCATGCCATTTTTTTAATATTTATTATACTAATATTTATTATACAAATCACAAATCAGCTGATGCTCACATTTTCAATATGTGTATTTTATACCTTTGCATCATAATTTAACCCTTTAATCATTTATAGAGGTAATATTAAATACAGAGTTATTTTTTTAAATGTGCTTTTAATGTTGAGTTGTTAAATAACTTGTGGATACCTGAAAAAGGTATTTCACTGTTGTAAGTTTAATGACGATATGCTATGTAGAACCCATGCAATTGCTAATTTGATTACCACATGAGGTGTGACTAGTTTTTCCCATGGATTTGCTTGTGGGATAGTTTTGCCAATATTACTGAAATCAGTTAGCTTAATGTTGTTATAATATGAGGAAGTAACATAAACATACAAACTTTCACATATTTGTGAGTGTCTGTGTGACTGCAGATATCAAAAACGTTTTCTGTATCATCTAACATATTTAAAAAGAAACTGTAAAGATATTCATTCATATAAATCTCGTCTCGAACATTTTAATATGTTACCATTAAAAGAAAGAAGAAAAATAGGAGATTTAACTCTTTTGTGTAAATTAATTACAGGTTTAATTAATACCCCAGAATTACTAGAACACTAGCATTTTTCAATACCCCGCCAACAAACTCGATTACATAATCGCAAAACCTTCTTTTTACTAGATACAAGAAACAACCTCCGTCAACATAGTCCTATCTATAGAACGGTATCCTTACAAATGCCCTAAAAAATGACATAGATATTTTCGGTGATTCCATGTCTTCGTTAAAAAGAGAGATTATTTAAATATTACTTTAGTAGCATAAAACAAAAGTAGTTAAGTCGGATTATGCTATATTTTATGTAATGTTTTGTTATAATACAATAATAATTAGAGTTAATTTAATTTAGCCTTGTTTAACAGTATATATTTTTATTGTTAATACTTAGTTCTGTTCATATGCATGTGATGTTCACATCTCAGAAGACATCATTTGTCTGATTGTATACTTAAGAAGTTTAGAATAATTATAATTAAGCTTGTTTATTTCATCTGTATGTCGGTTTTGTGAACTTATAAATAAATAAATAAATATAGAATGACTTAAAAACAAACTAATGTCGTCGTGTGTTATTTTAACATAGGTGAAAAACAGAAAAGATAAAGATAACATGGCATTAATAAAAAATAGAAATATCGAATTTTATATATACCTAGATAAACATAAAAAAATATAAACAAACACTCACTGGTACCTAGGTACGTTTTAATGGTTAGTATGAGTATTATTTATTATTAGTATTTGTATATATGTATTATACATATAAAGCTTCCTCTTGAATCACTATCTATTGCTGAAAACTGCATTAAAATCCATTGCATAGTTTAAAAGATTTAAGCGTACGAGCAGTGGGAGCGACTTTGTTTTCTACTATGTATAGATTTTGTCACTACATGACACACGAGACTAAAACAAGAATTAGTTCCCTTCACATTACATGATTACAGTGACATTGATTTTTCATCAATATAAATGAATGATCTGGCTGACCCTATCAAATTAATATTAAAATATTTAGTAAGTGATAACAAAGGAATCTCTACATATATAATTATATATGAATATAATTAAGACACTAAATTGCATATTCGTATGTACATACTCAAGGCTTTTTGACCAAGTCAAGGTAACCTAAGTTGTAGTTTACTGCAAATTTTGATAATATAAGGTAAATTTTTAGGATACAAACAAAATTATAGACTCGATTATATTGGAGTTATAGATAAAAAAATTGTGTGTTAGTGTGTTTGTTACTTCTTCATGCTGTAATGGCTTGATGGAATTGATAGAAATTTGGTATGAAACTATCTTAAATGGATTCTGAACCAACTTATACTTTATTTGAGCAGAGCCAGGAGTAAAAACTAGTGGTAAAATTAAATATAGAAAATCAATATTTTGATAAATGTACATGTGAATATTGCATGCTTAGTGCACTGCTATTATAATTAGATGTAAGTGTAAATGTTGAAATTTGTGTTAATATGCAGTACTTGTGTTGATATCATAATCCGATAAATGCGTCAATAACGTATCGACAATTTAAATAAGTTGCAATATGTGTATATTGAAATATTAATAATTGTATTTAAAAGGCAACAGTAGATGGCTTGTAATCTTCAATTTCTGTTTTTTTATATCGGGCAATGTAAATCGCAAATCGAAATAAAAATTATTATTCAAATCAAATCAAAATATAATTTATTCAAATAGACTCTTAAAAGCACGTTTTAATCGTCAATTTTTACATTTTTAAAATTTAAATTAAATGTCAGTACTTAATGAAAACATAAATACATGAGGAATCTACCGCCGGCTCGGAAGGTAGTTCTGCTGAGAAGAGCCGGCGAGAAATTCAACAGTTTGGGTACGTGTCTATCATTTCTCCTAACGTGTGTACGTACGTATTTATTACTTGCGACCTACCATCGCTTCATTCGGGTTTTTTTTGAGCGGAACCCTAATCCTTTTTCTATTAATTACTGATATTTTGACACTTATTAAGTACAAATAAACACTTCAGTTTTATTTATCTGTATAGATTTCTCCTAACCAGAAACTAGATATCCAATTTCTAGGCTTCAAGGATTTTAGAAAATAGGAATTCATAAAAAAGTACAACTCCCCTTACCATACATACGGCTTACTCAACACATTACAAAAGAAATATAAATAAATGATGAGGCGTATCATGCAAAATATAAACAAATTGATTTAAAATTTAAAAGTGTGTTAGTTTTGGTAGCAATTCCTTAATGTGGCGCAGTAGGTCAATGGCGATGTAGATTAGGATGTTACTACCTTTCGTTGCTATTCAAATTCGGTTCATTAATAAATATCTTATTATGAATATTGATGAAAGTTCATAAATTTAAAGTATATTTTGATTCTTAAAAACTTACAGTATACGTACTAACCTATAACAATCAGTCCAATTGAATTATAATAGTAGGTATATGTGTTAGACGTGTTTCTATAATAAGACTGCGGGCTTAGTTAAAATAACATTCAACGATCGTAAATGCTTGAGTAAGTACTAATAGTTACTTATGAACTTAAAAGGTATACTTATACATTTTTTAACATTATTTATTTCACATTTATAAAAAAATAACAAATCGGTTCACAAAAATATCAATAAAAACTCGATTTTAGTACCTCCTCCTCCTGTTTTAAGAATATGAAGATGACATATCAATATTATGCCATGTCAGTCGTTCAAGCAAAATTGATTAAAAAACAAACTTGTGTGAGAAAGCTATAATTAGAAAAATTAACAATCGTAAATGCAAAACGAAGATATAAATTCCTTATCTACTTTTCTAAAGGAATTCTACAGGATCCTTTTTTCTTTCACGTTGCGGTCGTACCGAACAAGACATAAGGTCTATTTAATACTTTTACTGTGAAATATTTTAGTCACGATTTAAACTGTTATTATTAACCTAATAGCAAACACTAAATCATTTTACATATAACATATAGAGTGGTTTAAACAAAAGAGAATTAGTTTTTATTTCCATATCATTAGAACGCAATCAATTGTAACGATACCTACTTATTCGTCTGGTATTTTTTATACGTTTGCGAACAGGAAAAGATAATATCGTAGTTCTTTTTGCAATTTATTTAAATTAGATTTATGAATTAATATATCTTAAACTTTAACAACGTGTGTCATACGTAAGGCTAAGTATTTTATTTTCAAGCGCAAAGGTTTGAAAATAATGACATCTTAATATTTGTATTTTAGTTTGTATTTATTCATATTAGGTATAATTAATTATTATGAGACATGACTAATGACATCATTTAATTTCTGGCATTAGAATACACTGCAGTAATTTATTATTGTACTAGCATTGCCCGCGGCTCCGCCCGCGTTCAGAAACCAAACAAAACCAAATTCTTAGGTTTTACGTATTAATATACTCTTACATTGCAGTTTTTGTATTTTTTCTCAGAAATGAAATATTTTCCCGTGGTAAAAAGTCCTATATATTGACCCGGATAACCAGCTATCACCATACCAAATTTCATCAAAATCCCTCCAGTGGTTTTTCCGTGATGCGGTAACAGACAGACAGACAAAAATTCTAAAAACTATAGATTCGGCCTCTGTATCCATAATAATGTCTATTTCAATAAGATTTTCCAAAAAAATATTTAATGTACAGATTCGGCTTAGTTAGAATTTTATTTTAGTATAGAAACTGACTTTAAGTACTTTAAGACTGAGTTTAAGTAGTATTTAATATAGATACAAATAAATTACAACAGAAAGCTTTAAATGTGTCGATTAATACATTCACATACATTATAAAGCTGAAGTGTTTGTTTTTTGGTCTACTTGTTTCGTGATTTATATCTCAAACTCAGACACTACGTCTTCATGATATTATTGTAAATAGGAAGTGACCTGACGGAGACGGTAGAGTGCATGCTCTTAACATCGAAGAGCAATAAAATATTTTTATATATTATCATTAATGTACATTAAATCCAGTCAAGAATTGAACCAACGTCGACCTCTGACTGAACTAAAGCCAGTGGCCTTAGAATATTCATGCACGCAATTACTATTAATTAGTAAATTAATAGATTTACTAATTATAGTTTGATATTATTTCGCAGATTGTAAACGATAATGCGGTACGTCAAGTGAAAGAGGAGGCCCGTATACAAGCGGCGGTTGGTCACCACTCGTTCATAGCCGGCGCGGTATCGCGGTGGCAGACCAAGAAAAGACTGTATATTGGTGAGTCATATTATTTGTACTCAACATGTATAAGAATTGAACGTTATGGAACTTCGACGTAATAATTGTAAAAAATGTATGTATTTCAATTAAGCGATCTTTAATTATTCTAATTGCTATTTATAATATGCGACGTTTCAATGCATCCGACTTGTCTAGGGCACATGTACTTTTAAGAATTATATTTATAAGAAATCGGTCCAAATCGATTAAGCGATTAATTTTAAATTCTTATTATCTTTTTACTTTCCGAGTATATTGTAATTAAACCGCTTAATTTTGATCTCATTCCACTTAATACGCCTGTGTGCCTATTATTAATAGATTTTAATTTATATAGAAACATAGTAATACTCTATTTTTCAAGATGACACATTATTAATAAGAAAAGTAATTATTGTAGTGATGATTATAAATGCATAATGTTTCTGTTCTAGTAATCGTTATAATATATATATATATATATATATATATATTTAATTGAAGATAAATAAGCTTTGAATAAGATCCTCATTTCTTAAATACTCTGTACACAAATACTGTTTATTTATCATTGTACGGAGTTTATTTATTGCCGACACTTACCAGGACCGTGATAGTCACTCCAATGTTCGGTGATTTCATTACTATCTGTACCAATACTCGTAAATTAACGTTTTAATTAATCTAAACATAACAGATTTCGCATGTCTATATTTCCTTTCATATATAGGTTAAAAAAATGATAACACAGATATCCATATGTGACCCAAAAATAAGTCAATTATTGATCCTTGCAAATGAATTTTATCGTTTCAAATGTTACGTGCTTTATGTAGATTACCTATATAAAATTTCACTTAATCCGATGAAAAATATATGTGGCTTTTAGAATGTTACCTATAATATAAATATTTATAGTGATTTTTGAAAATAGCATTCTAAGTTGTTGACTTGGGTTTTTTAACATTAAGTTGTAATTTAATAATAATTACAGGAAAGTCATTTCTAAATACGATTTTATATTTTGTTAATACATACAAACGTCACTGAGTTCATCGAATAAAACCATCTTTTCGAGTGTAACGCGTGAATCGCGTCCGTGAGCATGATTGCTGTAAAACATTCGAACGCGTCGGAAACCAAAAATCAAAAGGAATACGCGACAAAATCCGATAAGATAATTCTATTTAAATTGTCAAATATACATAAGTAAAGTAAATCTAAGAAAGTATTAAGAGTCCATTGACTTTTAAAGTAATAAAATCCATTATGAATAATTGGCGAAGTTGTTCTATTTGAACGTTATATGAAAATAATACTTCCGTCTATACAATTGACCTACTTATCTTGCTTTATCCTTATCATTGCTATCAATGGCTAGACATGTGTTTATCAAAATACCAACGCGACGACTAATTATTGTGCCACATGGCGAAGATTTGCAAAGGTTTGCAAAGGCATTGTTTCTTGACTAGGATAACGCTTTTTTACGTTATCGATTTGATTAGTATTTAAATAATCTAAACATCACACCTATGTACCTATATATGTACCTATAGTCTATCTATTCCATACTAACCGTTTCAATGTACCTAGGGACGGACCCGAGCGAAGCGAGGTTGAGCCGCTAGTACAAGTAAAATATAAATATCACTGGTGCTCTAGAAAAAACGATTAATTTATAAGGCACGTTGCCAACTATCAGCATTTAGATAAGTGGTCTTATAGAGCCTCTTCTCTTCAGCTAAGTCGATTATACCAGTTGATAACGTTCCTTAATACATTTGAAAATGTAACGGACGTAACTGAGTTTTTCAATATTAATTAACCAATTTTAATATTATGTTTATGTATAAATGCTCTTAAATAGAACTAGATAGTTAATTATAAGTACATGTTTGTTTCTTTAATAGAATATTAAAACAATACAGCAATTAATAACTTTGGTACAGTTGTTTTGCTTACATTTAGATAATATAGGACAGAGTACATAATTGTTATACTATTTGAATTTAAATTGTTAATGTTTCTTAAATTATACACAAAATTTTTAATTCTGTAGACATTGTACATACATAGGTATGACACATATTACGCACAATATATTGCTATCGATACTAATATCACTACTATTTGTATTTATATTTATCAGTCGAACTTACTGTACAGCTTAAATGATTATATAATGTATTATTCATGTCATTAATTATTATTATTAGTTATTCCAAAACAAGAAAAATGTTACTTTACTTTTATATAGTAAAAATGTTTATATCTGTTAAAAAATTAAATTATTTATTGATCTCAGTTTCAGAATACATTCCCGGAGGAGAGCTGTTAGCTTTGTTAGATAAGTACGGAAAGTTACCAGAGGAGCTTGTTAAGATATTTGTTGCTGAGATTGCTATAGCTATAGGCAAGTTATTGCGTATTTTAATTTTTTTGAAGTTATACTTCTTTTGAAAAATTAAAAATGAATTATGAGAGAGTTTTTTTTACGATGCGACAGATTTAGACTACAGTAAGAAAGTATTACAGTATGGAGTTAGTCATTATTGGGTACAGTGTGAAGTTAGTCCTGGTGTTTGTCTGTAATCAAATCTTGCAAGTTAAATTTGACCCACTTCTCAGTGTCCGATTGAGCTAAAATTTTGTACACACATTTGGTTCACGTGACTGCACGCTTACCTAAATACCGCCATATTTTATCTAATATGGCGGACATTACAAAATGGCAATTTATCACAATAAGCAAAGTGACGTCATTGTAAATTTTTATCCACTCCCGGTTGTTTTTTATGCACCCCCATGATATGGATATATAAAGGGTTCGCTGAGAAGTATACGAAAAAAAAAGAGTAAAAAACTCGAAAAAAAGTTTAAACAAAAAAATAACAAGCTTTTATTTAAATGTTCTAAAAAACAAAGAAGTATAACTTCTTACGTGCGTACATAAGTACACGTACACTTTTCTCTAAATGAGTTATTTTTTGCTTATAGATTTCCTGCATAACGCTGGCGTGATATATCGTGATCTCAAACCAGAAAATATACTCTTAGATTCAGACTACCATATACAACTAGTGGACTTTGGACTATCCAAGTGGTTATCCATAGGTTCCCGCACCACTACGCTTTGTGGCTCACTCAAATATATGGGTAAGTTGCTTTTGCTGAATCTTATATTTATTTACACATACAAATAAATAAATATGTTGGGACATTAATATGTATACATTTATTATATACGCCAAATTATAAGGGCAATATTGTTGAAATTACGAACTGTTACACAGTTTAGCCAAGCACATTTTATTTATTATTTTACCATTGTAACTGGAAATGACAGTATAAAAATCCATACAGTTGGCGATCGCCCATTGATTTTAACAAAAATGTTAAATGTAAGGGTTGTCTAAAATACGTTTCGAAATTTAAGCACTGTAGTGCCATCTCATGCTAAGTTACAGATACTTCAACCGTTAGGCCATATCTCAACTGCCATATAAAAGTAAGTATTACTTTCGGGATGCCTCCCTCGTGTCTCCCTTTCCGATCCGCACTGTTGCCCAGTTTAGACGCCATCGTTAAACGACTGTATGGATTAGTAGACTGTACTAAAAAGTCTTATATTGCGGCTTGCACCTCGATGGACGTGACTAAACACGGTCATTTTCCATTTCAGTTTGGGACTTGACCCGTTGCATATATTATAAATGGCACAGTTCGTCGACAGCATTCGCGACACACATCTGAGCTTAAGGGCGCTGTAACCGAACTGTATTAGAGCGTAATGTCAATATTCATAGCGAGGGCGCGCGCGGCTCGCAAGTGACGCAATATGAACGCCCGAACTATATCCTTCGAAATGTCGATGAAGGGCCGGCAGGTGGACGAAATTGTCGCCAGCATATTCCACACGGTCCTCTTCCATCGCTCCAGCGGCAAGTTCACATACAACAACGAGGAGAGCTACTCCATACGCACTGTTAGCTACGTGGACGTGGATTGCGACTTCATCGACTTCACCTACGTGTGTTGCGAGTCGGAAGCGCTCGGTAGAAACGTTAACGTCAAGATATCGGAGTTCTCTGATCTGCTTAGGAAAGCCGATTGTTCCTCGTCGCACCCTAAAGGCTCGATCAGCCTCGAGTTCTTCCAAAAGCGACGGGCGCGATGGCCTTTCGGGCCGGAGTGTGTACCCTGGGAAGTGTGGACGGTTTGTTGCGAACTAACGGAGCAAAGCAAGCACGAGAACGTCGTAGAACTATTACAGGACAAGATCGTCTTTATAACGGAGATAATAAACCGTCACGAATACGTGCCAAAGATGCCAAGTCGGTCTGACGCGGACTTGGTCTTCGACACATCATACACCGACATTCAGCCGTATCTGTTCAAGATACACTATAACTTGTCCGGTGCGACGTCCACCTCAGTCGGCAACAGGGTGCGTAAGCTACTCTGTGACACACTATATTTGTGATGTACGTATTCTATTCAGCTTATGAAAGGAAATTTAGTATCTTACTTTGTCCTTGGGTTGCTGGTGTGGAAATTATGTGATATAGTATCGACTTGGAGGTCTATACGGAACTTTAGGCCGCTACACATTATACCTAAAGCGTTGATATCTGAAGTTCTCGCTGTGGATCGGAAGTGCAATTATTTGTTTGAAAGGTGAAGAAATATGTAAATAGTGAAAAATGTATGGTATTTATATTTATATCTATATATAGTTATATTTTAAATTGATTTCTCGCAATACTACCTGCAATAATGTACTTATGCGATTTTGCACAAAATTGAAAATTTTTTGTTGTCTATTTCGCGGAAGTCAGTTATAATTGTGATGCGCTTTAAAGTTTTCAATGTACGAGTAACTAATCACATATTATTTATACGATTAGTGTCTATATCGATAGTTATAAAAATCGGAGCTCCGGTTCAGAAGGCTGGTTATAGTGTCCATTCGTTTTTATTTAAGATTTGACTACTTTTATGTTACTATATTATAAATTTGTTTCGTATTACCGCACACTGAGTGAAAGTATAATAAATCACACTAAAATTAGGTTCGCAGTAATCATAAGACGAATTAAATGTAATATTAACGTATGTACAGCTGTCGAGTCACTTTTTAAAATGTCGACACGTAGATTTTTTTGTGTTAAACGTGTTTGTGACGGAGCGGCCAATCGTTGTAACTTTAATTTAGGTTTATGTAAACGATATTTTTAAGATGAAGTACTGGGCGTTCGCTCGGTTTATATTAGTATAGTCTTTTTGACTGTTGGGTGTTTTTATATTAAAAAATTGCTTTGTGATATTCGCATGGAAATTTGATGATTTCGATCGAAATGTGGAACATGATATTGTATGTCGACTGATACGTCGAGGTCTCGTAAATATGTTACATAAGTGTTGTATATATGTAGTAAGATATACAGGAGAATGTTGAAAATTTTCTCATTTAATTTTTTTTCTTTAAATAGTGATGTTATTTTAACAGTGAGAGCTTTATAAAACTAATGCTTAGTGTTGTTACTTTCACGATTTTAAAGCGGAGTGCAATTTAAACTGTATGTAATATATTTATTATTGTCGCTTTACAATTGTCGAAGTATCGTCTCATAGAAATGGTGCATGAAACGTCATAGATGTATTAAATGTGTAGGTAACAAATTATATTTCGATATTCATTTAAATAATAAATAAACAATTTCATATTAGAATTACAAGTACAAGACAGAATTCGATCTGTTTGGTGATTTACAAAACTTAGCTGTAGGTCTGAATTTTTTTGTCGTTACGTAAAGTAACTACATATATCGTAAATAGAATTTTTTACCCCATCTTAGTAGATAATAGAGAATGTCTTATTCATTTTTCATATACAATTCTTAAAATAGTTTTTGATGTTCTTTCATATATGCATCATCGTAATATTTTTCATTAAATTTTAGTGTAGTGTAAAAAAGTTTTAGCCACCTCCATGTTCTGGACTTACAATGAGCCTGAGTTTGATCCATACAGGAATATAATTTTAAGTGGTATGAAAGATTTATTAAGAAATGGTTGATTTGATCTAAATATATAATTAATTTCCTTTCTGTAACAATGCCAAATCGACATAATAATATAAAAAAAATATATATGCCTAATGATTTCATTATATGACTTATGTTAATATTGACTAAATTTAAATGTTTTTAATATTATTTTTATGTATTTTTGTTCTATAAAGTTATTGTATCAAATGTAAGCATTTTTTATCTGATAATAACTTGTATTTTCTTTTGGGCGGAGGACTGAATCCATCCATGATTAAACTTCTGTAGATCGGTTGGTGTACAAAGAATTTTGGGGGAAACTCCATACAAACGTCTTTAAACAAATTCCAATCTGATCATGACAAAAGTATGCTAAGCTCGTATTCATTAATTACAAACTATCACAGGAATTTTTTTATAGATTAAGTATTTTTTTTTTATATTTAAAAAAAACTTAACTTCCCTTACAAAGCTATTTGTACTTCAACCATACTATGATTATTTACTTTCCTACCTCATTTTGTGACCGTAGCTTTAGCGTGTTTGCATCTGAATTGGAAAAATAGTTTCCTCTTTGTACCTTATCTATATATAACAGATTTATTTCGTCACCAAAGATGAGGCTGTACATTTCAATCACTAATTGATTTTATTCAAATATTATTATAAATTATATAAATTATGTCGATTGTACGACAGAGTCCTTATGTCCACTTTTCATATCAGGAAGTATCTTTAGAAGTATAGTTTAATAGCAGTATTTTGGTTAATACTTCGGTTAAAGAAGCTCTAATTTATATTTTGACCGACTGCCAAAATGGAGAAGGTCTATACCATTATTAATAATAGTACCATTGTCTTATTTATTATTTTTGAAGTTATACTTCTTTTGGCACGTTTGGAAAAAAATATAATAGTAATATTATTACGATGATTGCCAAAAAGCGAGATGATGAAGTTAGCTAAAAGCGACATGAAGAACTAAGAAGTTAGCTGCATTCCTTTTACAAACGGACAGCTGTGACATACGGGATGAAATCTTTAGCTATTTTTGTTCTGTTACGCCAAAGAAGTATAACTTCTTACGTGCGTACATACACATACTTTTACACACACACACACACTTTTTTAACTACTGTTTCTTGTTTCCGCCAGCTATAGAGTGAGAAATGGTTATTAATCAAAGTGCTGTTATTAAACCAACCAATAATTTTTATATATTTCCATTCGGATTTTGAAATCTGGTTATGAGACAATATATATAATATGCTATTTTTTAACACCTTGATAATGTGCCTATTTTTTAATGTTTCGGGCACCGTAAATTTTACTAAAATTGCACTTGCTATGGCCTTATTTGAAAGATGACTACGTCTTAATGTGAATGGCTGTTACGTATAGAGTGTATGAAAGTTAGTATATGTTGTGATTTATGAGTTCAAAAATGAAAAAAATCTTAGTCTTGTGATAATTTATATAAAAATGTGAATAAATGAAAGTATTAATAATATTTTGCTTTTAATTAACATCCCTACTATGTTATGATTATTATTCTAAATTTACCAAAATGCTAAATTGAAGAAGATACATTTTTTTTAAACGGAAACAAAAGGGTTTTATATATTATGAAACTGAATAGATATCTCAACTTAATATCGTTATTACAACGACTTAGTTTATTTATCCGCATGTTACCTTAAATACAGAAGATTTAGGGGCCTTGGCTATGGAATGGTTCTGATTGTATTATTAACAGGACCATGGGATAAGTTTTAGAAAGGCCGCCCCTTAATAATTTTCATTAGGGTTCCCTAACTAAAACGCAAAAACGAAATCCTTGTAATACGAACAAAGGGGGTTCTTCCGAAAAAAATTGAGTCCCACATCGTATGATGTGGTGACAGTATCTGGGGTATTTGTAGCTTCTCAAATGCCGCCCCTATTTCGTGCCACCTGAGGCGGCCGACTGATTATTATTAAATAACCAAATGTAAATTGTTAAGATATATACCTCAAATATTCAACGAATCTTCGATAGATAAATACGTTATTGCACATATAAATGAAGAATACAGAAGATAAAAAGAAAGATAATTTTTATTTATTTATTTATTTATTTATTCATTTATCAAATACAAAAATCATTTATACAAATCTAAGACACTCGTACTAAGTGAACTTGTATTACGAGCGTCTTGCCTTCCATGTTGAACAAAAAGACATGCACAAACGGTCGGTCTTATTACTGTCAGCAGTCTCTTACAGACAACCTTTGGTGAAAAGATTAGTAAAGCCGCAAAGCGGATTGTACAATTAATGTATAATATACGGTACGGACTGTGTAATAAATATATACAAGCTCAAAAATGTCAATGTTTATTACGATTTTTTTTAAACTGTAATATAGAGAAATATGTTTATACTTTTTATTTTACTTAATGAAATACTTCCTGTAGGATGAAACATTTAGTAAGGCCTTATTAACTAGCCTTTGCTTGAATCTATGGATCGTATTCTTTAAACTTGTAAAAAGATGTTTTAAATATCACTGGTATTCCCAGAGTTAATTTAAACAAATAAAAAAACTAGCTCAATAATATTTGTATGCACTAACACATGATAATAGAATTTTGGTATATTAATATTGTATCATTGCTTCGGTTCGTCTTCAGAAGCAAAACAAAAGTAGAAAAGTTCAAAATACTTTTAAAATATAAGAATATAAATTAAAAGAAAATGTAAACCCTATCTATTGTGCCAAACCTTCGAGTGATCTACCGATGGAAATTGAGTGCAGACTTCGTGTGCTACACGACACCGAGATTCCTACCATCAAAGTAAATATAATTCATATAGTACCTATTTTACATTTATTATGCTGAGTGAATGGGGGAATGTGAGTTGCGTAGAGCACAAGAAGTGCGATTAAATGCAATACTTGTGGATTTCATTATAAAAGTTGCTTATTTAGATTTGGTTTGAAAACTTTATATTGAAAATCTTCTAAATACAAAAGTTATTATCTTTTTAATTCTTATTAAAATATTTAACTATACGGATTTTCATTTTTAATTTTTCATTTAATTTTTTCATTTTTAAATTGTCTCTTTTTTAAATAAAACAAATATATATAAACTACAAGTTCTGCATTTTTTATGTGCTGTCTCTATACATAAGTATCTTTAAAATAAGCTTTAAAAATTAATAAAGGTTTTGTTGTTATTAGCTCCTGAAGTGTTGCAACACGAGCCTTACGGTCACGCGGTAGACTGGTGGTCTCTCGGTGTCATTGCCTGCCATATGCTTACAGGAGAGGTAAGTATACTTATGTATACGTACTCATACATATATTTGATGACGTTTATGCCTTAGTTGAGTTACATAACTTTATACAAATATTACTGCCCAAGAATAACGAAAAAAAGCAATTTACAAAAATGAAATTAAAAACTGACTCCGTAAAAAATGACGGAGTTGACGAAGAGCCTTACACGTAGCAAGACTCTCAGCTAGTATAAAACATCTACAGCGTGTATGGGACATAGGATTGGGCATACATTCATATAATATACATACAGGTCTAGCACATACCCCTCCTTTGGGCTTCGCCGCAGTCGGGTAAAAAGAAATAAAACTGTTTTTAGACGGCCAAAACTGAGGGCAGAAATTAATCAGTAAATCAATAATACTACTAATAATCAGTCTTGTTAATATTTTTTTATTTAATTTACTCTCTCGATAAAAATATTAAAAAATATTATTTTGTAAATACGTACATTATGTGTACAGTGTAGGTGCTGTTATATTTATAACCGTTTAAACTGTACCTAATACAAACCGTCTACTGAAAATTAATAGACAAACCATCAAGCTTAAGAGTATATGAAACTACCATTATTAAAAGTAAATAAATCAGAAAAAGGCACGGACAAAACGTTCGTGGGGTATAATATAGTCACAAGAGAAAAAATAGAAGTCGTCTTTAAAAATCTTCCTTATGGAATTCTATTGCTTACTTAGATATAATATTTTATGATACATTCGCAGCTATTTGATTAGTTAGTTTCGTAAAATGTTATGGTGTTTTGATCTGTTTTCTTAGTAAGCTACTTCTGTGTAATACCGCACTTAACGGGCAGTTCTTTAGATAAACAATTAGCGAGGCATTGTTTGAATTGAGATAAACATGTTAATTGGTTGTGTCTTACATTTTACAACATGAAGGCTAATAAATGTATGTTATGTAACATAGCTCAGTCGGATTGTCGAAATTATGAGCCTAACCCCGAAAAAATGCTAGGCCAAAATTTTATTTCACTAACCTTTAGGGGGAGTCACTGGGAGTTTAAATTTAAAATTGCGACCAAATTCAAGCGATGCGTTAGCCGCCATCTTGATTTTAAGGAGGAATCGTTTTTCCTCAATATCTCGGCCATTTTCAATTTTTTCGAGAAAAATCATAAGGAGTAAAGTTGTTCATTATTCAATTCTCTATATTTTATTTGTTTCTCATTTTTTGTGCGTTCGATATTTTCCGAGTTAAGGGCGAAAAACTGGGGAAATATAGACTACTGAACAACTTTAATCCTTATGATTTTTCTCGAAAAATTTAAAATGATCGAGATATTAAGGAATGAGGATTCCCGCTTAAAATCAAGATGGCGGTTAGCGCACCGCACGAATTTGGTCGCGATTTTAAATTTACACTCCCAGTAACTCCCCCTAATAATTTTGGCCTAGAATTATTTCGGGATTAAATACTAACCTGACTAGGCTAATGATGCTGTAAGGTAACTCATAGGTATAGGTGTATAGATATTAGTATACAGATAATATATCGATATTGTCTATTATAAAATAGATAAATTAAATATGACAGAGTGAGGCTGATGTGGTTTAGATATATTATAATTTTACTGAACGTAATGGTAATATTAACAAAAGCTTAGCATATTGCCCCCCATATTGAGGGGCTAGGGAGTAGATTCAGCTCTGCGGCGTTCGCGGTAGAAAAATAAGACTTCTTACTGATGTAGATACAGCTCGCATAGTATATTTTAGTTATTTTCATAGTATTATGTCCTATGGTATCTTACTATGGGGAAATGCAGCTGCTATTATTACGATTTTTGTCCTGCAGAAAGGAGCTATTCTTTTTATGGACAATGTATACGCTTGTACAACAGGATCCCAGAAAATGTTCAAAAGGCTTCTATCGCCAAATTCAAAATCAATGTTAAAGAACATTTGTGTGCTAAAGGCTATTATACAATAAATGATTTTATAGAAGATGGCACACCTTGGGAATGAAATGATCGCCTCCAGGCTACTTCAACTTAATAGAAATGTTGTAAATTATAATTTTACTTTAAAAAAAGATAACAAGTTAATATTAGTCCCGCTGAGTTTCTTTCGCCAGTTCTTCTCAGGTCTGAGGCTTCTTCTTTCCGAACTGGTAGTAGACTCATAACCTTCAGTAAAAAATTGTAATAATTTAATGCTGAATAAAATATTTTGAACTTTTGAGCACCAATTTCCATAAATACCGGACTTTCTTACAAATTTTATCCTTTATTTACTTGGTTTTTTTTTCGAAATGTTTAGTGCTGTTGGTTCTACTGATCTTGACAGTGTTACCAGAGGGCTTAACCTAGAAAAGTTGAGCAACAAGGGAGTAGCTTTGTAAGTGTTGAACTTTCAAAAATAGAAACTTTCTTGGTGCTTTTCTCTATTTCATATGAAATTTTAAACTAAACTCTAATATAAAATTTTAGTATTTAACTCAGCAATTGAGGATGTGCGTCATTGAGTCAACGCATACTTTTTGGATTTTTGTGAAATAGGCATTTGAAACTTAGCAAAACGGTCGTTATAATATATTGCTATAAACATTAGTTTACTCTTACTTTACTAAAATTTAATAGTAAATTAAAATAAATGTACATTAATAGAGATTTACATTTTATAAAACTATTAGGTACCTAATGTGTTACGTTTATAGTTTTTTAAAACGTATAACACGTTTTAAATTTAAAAACTTTATTCATAGTTATTAATCAAATATCAACACTGAATTTATTTTATAGCAAAATATTGAGCAAAAATATATCTGAGCGTATTTTATTTACAACAATAATTGGTACACATAAAATCAGAGATGATATACAATATACATATACATAAATATTTCTAAAATGGTATAAAAATATTTCTGCACTTTTCTCTAATCTGTATAATGTGTATTAAATTACTAGAACCTAAAAACATGTAAAGGAAAATGAAATATCTATTATAAAAAAACGTATTTATTATTACTTATAGTACCGTGAATTCGATAATTTACTCTGAAAATAATTACAACATAGGTAATTTTTCGGTTCCACTATTTAAATAAGTCTTTAGAACTAGTGTATAGTCGAGATTCACGCAGACGGACCGGCGTGGGTCCGACGCGGCTACACAAACGCACTGCGCTGCGAAGGCGGGGGGCGCGTGTCGAGGGCGCAAGTCGACACACGCCTACCGCCTAGATTATCTTAACTATTCTAAGGTTTAGCGCTTTCTGATTTTTCGCCGCTTTCCTCTGATGAGTCTTTCTCTGCGCTTTCTGCGTTCTTTTCTGAGTTCTCGTTACTTTCGTCAGAACTGTTCTCATTGGCTGGAGCGTCACTCATGATTTCGTCCGCTTTAGGCTTAGCTTCGCTCTTAGCTTCGACGGCCTGAACGGGGGCTACTGCGTCTTTGCTTTCGGCTTCTTTAGGTATCTCAGCGGCTTTGGCCTCGATGACTGCGCTCTTTTCCTCTACTGCAGCCGGCTGTGCCTCTTCTTTAGGTGCAGCGATTTCTTCAGCTGGACTTGCAGATTTTTCCTCTACTTTGGGATCTTCAGCAGGCTTAACTTCATCTTTAATTGTTTCAGCAACGGCTTTTGCTTCTGGTTGTTGAACTTCAGTTTGTTTCTCATCAACTGCATCACGAATCACACGCGTGGCGTCATCGGATACAGCAGCTGATTTTGGTGCGGCAACTGCGTCTGAGGCAGCGGGAGATTCAGCGGGCTTTTCCTCGGGCTTTGGCTCTACTGATTTGCTCTCCTCTGCTTGGCCAGCTTTTACTGAAGCCGAGTCGCTAACGATAGCGTCATCTTTCTTTTCAGGTTCAGCGCTTTTAGCTGTTACTACTGGCTGAGAATCGGATAGGTTGATCGCGGCAAGATCAATAATATCATCAGCTACAGCAGCTTCATTTTTAATTACACTAACCACATCAATTACATCTTCAGAGATAACTGACTTAGTTGCTGGTATATTGCTCACTTCTTCAATTTTTGCAGGGCTTTCTACAGGTTTAGCCTCTTCTTCAATCGCAGCCTTTACTTGAGGAATTTCTTCGGGAGCAGCCTCTTCTACGACTGCAGCTTTTACTTTAGGGATTTCTTCAATAGGTTTGGCTGGTTCACTGGTCTCAGGTTTGTTTTCTGGTTCAGAGCTCTCTGGAATAGCCGATTTAGCTTCGACTGCTTCTTCATTTTTAACATCAACACTAGCCTCTGCTTTAGGTTCCAGAGAGGCTTCTGCTGGAGCATTTTCGGTCTTTATTTCGGCTTCAATTGCTTTATCAGCGCTTTTAGCTTCAGATTCTGGTTCTGGTTTCGTTTCTTCTACTGGAGCTGGCTGTGAGTCGGTTTGAGGTTTAACATCTTCCGATTTAACTTCAGAGGTTGATGGAAGGGCGATAGGCGCTTCTTGTTTATCCTCAGCGACAGGCATAGCCAAACTCACAGCCGCAAAGGCCATGCAAAGTAGTAAGACCTTCATCCTGAAAAGATGAATTATCTAATTAGTGGTTTGTCGAAATAATTAAGGTAAGATTGTAAAGAATTCTAAAGTATAATAAATGCACGTCTGCAAATCGTGAGTGCGGTAAGGCCAATGTTACGCGGCGCCGGCCGGCATCGGCATTCACAGTAATTTTCCTATTAAGGTTGAATTGTCTAAGGGCCTGATATGTTGGGGACGGGTGCCTATCTTCTAGTCACAGTAAATTAAAGTTAATATGAGTAAGTAGGATGTAAACTATTTGTGAAAGTGGGCTACAAAATAGTTTCTACTATATTTTATTATTTGTTGATAAAATTAAAATTAATAATTAAAAGCAAATTATTTAATAAACTTATAAATAGACATTTTCATTACTAAGAGAAGCTAGTTGGCTCAAGTTCTATAAATAACTCTGCTAGTTAAAGGAAAGATATTAATTAGATATCCCAGGTCCTTAAGGAATGTGGTTTGGCGCCGTTCTAGAAATAGAATACTGCTTTAAACAAGTAGCAATCTTGTTTTGCTTAAGAATGCTGTAAGCGTTGCATAAATTGATGGGTACAGTAATAGCGTGTTATCAGCGCGTCATCATGTAATTTATTAACATTATATATTAGTACCTATTTATAATAATTACTCTGTACTAAGTAAAACATACAATTGTCTTTTTAGGTAGACAGACTTCCATAATCAAGATTTCCATCTTAAAAATGAGTAAAAAATTGACCAATTATGTGCTAAACAATATATTTAAGTATATCCAACAGAGATTATTTTGTTCCGTTTTCTGCGAAATGAACGAACAGTAAGTTGGCACATGATGGACACTTCCTACTGCGTGATGTTGGCAGGATGTTGCACGCGCGTTAGCAATATGGATGATCCGGCGAGACGACCACACATTATCTGAATTTTAATCGACTCATTGAATAGAATCGGCAAATAGAATGCCGAGATACTATCGTATGAATGATTCACTGTTTGTGGACACAGAATTTAACGTATTCTTCGTTATTTTTTTTATTTATAAACTCGAATTCTTATTATGCAAATTGACGATTACAAGCGATCGTCCATTGACCTTAAAAATAGTGTTGTAAGTTCATCGAAGATTCTACGGCTATAACCTTTCAATAAACCTTATATTAAATTAAAATCTACTTCGTAATATTTATTTTAAATTATAATCTGTATAATATATAAAACAAAGTCGGGTTTGTTACAACACTTATAACTCGAGAACTGCTGGACCGATTTTTATGATATTTGTTTTGTTGGATTTGTCTTCACCCCGTATAGCAGAATGACTATAATATAATATATATAAAACATTGGGAAAATACACGAATAAAAAATTGAGAAAAATATCTATTCTATCCTAAAAACAACATTAAAACGAACCTAGGCACGAACCTGAGCGAAGCGAGGGCGAGTCGCTAGTACTGTCATAAAACAAAACTATTAGTCATAAAACAAAACTATTAAAATAAGTAGAGTAACTGTAAGGAGATTGCTATTGGGTCTTCGAACAATATTCCCCAAATAAAAAAAATATGAGTAACCAAATCAGTTATTCCGGATTATAAAGACAAGTAACATTACATTATTACTGGTCACATAATATTATTGCATCGTCCATTGCACTTAAAAAATAAAGATATAAGGTACATACTTCGAGACTGGTTCCAACATCTGATGAGGCCATTGCCATCAATATCGATTGTAATTATACGCAATCATAGACTTTATTATTTATTTTTTGTTGTATCACATTAATGGAGCTTGTCAGAATCTTATTTCAACGAGATATAAAAATGGTTCATGTTTTAGTAGTGTATCATGTTTTTGAAAAACAAAAGAATGAGTCATTGTTACATTCCCTGTTTATTACACATATTTGATTGTTTATTTATGAGTTTTAAATAAAACTATCTTTTCGAATTCTTTCGCGGATTTATAATTTTATTTAGTTTTTTGTTTCCGATGTTTCCAATTCTTTACACGTGCTGTAAAGTTTACAGCAATCATGGTCACGGGAGAGTCGTTGGAAACCAAAAATCAAAATCAATTCGCGAAAAAATCCGAAAAGATAGTTTTATTTAAAATGTCAAATATTCGCGTAAATCTAAGAATTATTTATGAGTTTTTCTTTTATAGATATTGTTTTGTTTATTGTTTTATATATTATAATACCTTACTCTATAAAATGGAAAATACTTAAAAGAAAGCTTGATTTTTCTCTGGTCGAAATGTAAAACGTAGCACGACCTACATGCATACATAGAATACATAAGTCATCGGTACAATAGTTCCTTTTGCATTACAAGCTAGATTTATGCGATTGTTAGTTAGTTATTTTCTGGAAGGATATCCCCGGCGGACTGAGGGCAAGCATTGTCGTCTTCCCACACATCGGCGCAATCTTCCAATTGAATCGGAGCGCATGCCGGCTTATTGCGCCAATCAAAAAATAAGCCGGCACTTATGGACCGCGGTTATTTGTATAAAAGATTAATATAGGTTTTTTCCTAAAGATTGATAAATGATTGACGGTATTGTACACGTATATGTCTTAACGTTTTTATCTAGAAAGATATTCGCTTATTGTAACTTATAATGTAGTTAAAATAAGTGATAATTGGAAATCTTCCATCTATCTAAACTTGTAAAGCCCTTTTTATGCAATCTGCGATATGATATCATGCGTTTCATTATTAAAATTAAATCAAATACCTACTTGATCACTAAGAAAATCTGACTTTCTTATCTTAGTAAGTTGAGTCTCAAAAGTTGATTATGAATATTAATATACATACGTCGTGATCTAACAATGGCATTTCCTATTTAAAACGCTATTTACGGTACATATTTAACAGAGAAAGGAAAAATATTATCGATATTTGCTACAACAACTAAACGTTACTTTTTTTTAATTCTAATCGTCACTTCTTTAAACAATGTTTACATCAAAATGATGATGAGAAAGAATGTCATTACGTTATAACAATTATCCTATAAGCTCATGTTAATTTTAGAAAGAACGAAGTCTAGATTTTTTTTTGCATTCTAGTTCTAGCCGTGATCGTTGGATGGTCCAATTATCCGTATACTACGCTTTGAGAGCTATTTTAACAAACATATTCTTATAATGGTTGAATCTTAAAAACCATCTAAACGACGGGCACGTATTATGAGACAATATTTGCATATAAAAACTGATATATAAACTTTTATATTCACATCTTGATGAATCATTGTACTTCAAGAAATCTGTTTCCACTCATAATATATAGTTATTATTTGTGTAGAATATTTAGAAGGTATAAGTAATAATAAATTAAAATATGAAACAACTAGATACATGTTAGAAAAACTGTGAAGCAATGGATAAAGCTCTAAATGTCTTGGTTGCACAACTTTCTTACCCGTGCAAGGTGCCCGACAAAGGACTCTTACGCTTCGTGTTGGAAAGTTCAACTGAATTTCGGATTTTAGTTGATGTTATTTAGATTTTTATTACAATATACCTCTTAATACATATGTATACCAAATGTCATTGACTTAAAAATATAAAGAACAGGTTTATCTAAAACATTGAATAGTATGTATTCACAACATTCTTGGGAAATTCAATGGTGCACATTTGCATAAACTATTGCGTTGCATCATTATTCGGATGTGGGTCTTACTAGGTATAACTTACATTAAATTGAACACGAACGTCATTAAAATTTGCACGTTCGCCGGACACACGCGGACTACGAAATTTTTACCATTTAAGGCGCGACCGTCTGGATCTCTGATCTGACCCAGACATTTTTTTTCACAGTCCACGTTTTCACGCAAAAACGTAGTTGCCGGTCCAATTCTTGCTTTGTTACAGTGTACTACTTTCCATTGTCCAAATAATCGATCGACAATAATATTATCATTATATTTATGCAGAAACAACCTAGACTACATTGTAATTGTAAATCGACACTCGCAAAATAATTATTTATAAAAACTATCCAAAATTTACGTTGCCTTTTAGGAACTCGTTAAGCTTTATTTTGTATTGCTTTAACTGTTTTTTGTGATAAGTACATTAAGTGCTCTCACTGACCTGTTTTTATCAGTGCCAATGACCTGTCTTGCTTACATTCGCAAATTCGGACAACAGATATCATTAAACGGTAGGCTTAATTTTAGTATTCTCGGAATTACATTATACGGTTCCTGCAGCATGAGGTGAGGTGCGTTGTCGCATGTCGAAACCCGTTATTCGAGCGATTGTGCAATGGGCGACCCACGGTTCATTGTCGAGTTGTCAACGCATTGGCTGATCGATCCTATTATCTCGTTCGGAATAAATCAAATCGCCGCCAATGGCGGGCTTCACTGCAACACTCATATTGTAATACGAAAGCCCGTCAACGTCTATTGCATGTAATGTCGCATGGTTAATTTTTGTAAGCGAATATATCTATAACTAAATTATCTTTTCGAGCCTGTACTTTTATTAAGTTTGCAATGTTATCTTCATAATAGAAGTTAAGTATCAGGTATTAGATTATGGATTGTAACTATTTTTTATTTCGAAGTAATTACTTGGACGTGGGAAATGCCACAACGGTAAAGATAAGTAAATGGATTTCAGTTCTAGAAGCGCTTAGGTCAATGCCAGCGGAAGCGATGCAGTAACGGCATATTCTGTAGATTGCTAGCGAAATGTCAACAAATGTGCTCAATAAGCTATACTTCACTATGCTTGCATAATCTTTGAACTTTACCATTTATCAACTCATTTATACAAGAAAAAATCATTTCCATTACTCGTTGTTACAAAGAACTTAATTAGGTTTTAATACAGGATCTCATCGACAATCTTTATAATTTATATATAATGTAATTGAGGTAGCTTAGTCGTACCGTGCTCATTTGGGGAACCAAGTGAAACGAGTTCAAAT